GAGAGAAGAATCGGAAGCTGTAAGAACAATTATAGAAATGAATGTTAAAGGAAGAAGAGATAGAGGAAGACTAAAAAAAAGAAATGGAGGGATGCTATTGAAGCGATATGAGGACAGCTAATGTGAGTGTAGAAGATGTGGGAGATCGTGTCAAGTAGAAGTTAAGGATAAGGGTGGCTGACTCCAAGTAGTTGGGATTAAGGCGAGGAAGAAGAAGAAGATTATAGACCAGTCATTTTCACAGTTATATTATTTTTATTTTATAGTCTAATTATATGTATATTTAAAAAATAGAGGTAACACGCTTGTAAAATATAAGGGATGAATTAAAAAAGTAATTTATAACTGAAAAATCAAGAAATATATGAAACTGAACTATACCAAAAGTAATATTCCTGAAATTATTATTATTTTGTAAATAATTAAGACACCCCTTATGACTTTTTCATGCAATTGATTTTTTCGTTTTAATTTTTTGTCTTTTTAATATTAAACATTTAGTTTCATTTAATAGTTCCTATTGTATTGATATCAAATCATAAATTTTGCCTGAATTACGAAATATATTATATTTGACTATTATATCTCATATTCCTGTGTAAAATTATGATTTGATATTTATTGGTAATATTTTACTCTCAATAGACACACAAAACAATAATTTATATAATAATAATAATACATGCAAAATAAAAAATAAATTAAATAATTGAGTTTATCATGAAGAAACTATGTTATTATAATTTTACAGTAAAAATGAAATAATTTTTACCCCTTTTAAATATAATCATTGATGCTAATATATTTACTTAATATTTTTTTTTTTTCTTCAATAAATATTAATATTTGTTGGTTTCTGTTCAACATCTTTTCTATTTCATTTTTCAATATGAATAAGCTCATCTTTTTTTCTTCTAACTTGTTTTTAAAAATCTCTATTAACAATAAACATAAATATATGAACACAGGGATACAATTATTTTAAATTACAATGTATAAGAGGATAAAATTTTAAATAAAATTAAAACTATACAAAAATATTTTTAATTTAAAAACTAAAAAATATTAAACTCAAAAGCCACAAAAAATTACTGAAACGTCGCGGATACGTATTTTGGAAACAATGTTACTATTATCAACGCTAAACACATACTGACACCTCGACTAGAAAAAAACTCAAGTGATCAATTTTTATTATAAATATTTTACTATAATTATATCAATATGTTGTAATGTAATAAAATAATGTTGTGTATAAAGTCACAGGTAAATATATTCAAAAAATGCGCGTTGTACATTTGTAGATTCAGTGTTACACATATACACACAGATTTTATTTAGTAAGTCAATGAATTGTTCTACAACTTATGTTTCCCTTATCCTAAATACTACTATATTTATCCACGGGCAACTAACGCTATCGCTACACTGTCCACTTCCCACTCCCAGGTGATAACAAACCGGCTTGGTAGATGGGAAATAGTATGGTTATGTTCAAAAAAAAGTACATAACTTGGTCAATATCATTATAGTCATCACGTTACTATCAACTTCTAAGATGGAGTGGGACGTTTTCAATTTGTCTTGGTAATAGTAATGTCACCGCATCAAAATCAAAATGATCTTTTAGGATACCTCAACAATTGTATAGTAATACAATATTTTTTTTTACACTATGTGCTCATTTAAAATTATTTATTTTATCTTTTATTTTGGTTAACTGACCACGTGGTCTGGTTATTATTTTGTTAGTTAATTACTATATATTTTAACTATTTTTATCTTCAGAAATGGTCAATTTCCATTATTTTTTTCCATTCCGTTTTCGTGAGCTGATAGGTCCTCTAGATCGCCTAAGAAAGGCAAATAGCACTCTGCACACCCTCTCCCAGAGCAAGACATAGGACCAGAAGCGAGAATCTTTGGAGTTCCGACTAGAGTTCACGTTCCGAGTCGGGTCCGTGGTAGACCTGATATTGGAGAGCCGGGAGACGTGGAGGCTCATCCAGGCGTTCACCGAATCTGTCCTGAAAAAGAAGGAAGAAGCAAAATGCCTGAGACAGAAGCAGCCACGCTTTCTGGCTCCATAACATCAGGTCCACTTTACTACTTTTTCCTCAAAAATTAATTTTACGACTATAATTTTCTCACTTTGCCTAACTACTTTTACTACTTTACTTTTCTTCTCCTCATTCATTATAATCCACACACCATTCTTTGTATTGGTCTTGCCTGAGTATATTATTTTATAAGCCTCACCAATTTCCCTCGTTTTCCACTTAGTTTCCTGCTCACAACAAATATCAACTTTTCACCTCTTCAATACTTGTACTAATTCTTTACCTTTATCAGTTAATGTTCCAATATTTTACGTACCTACTCTTATATGATATCAGGCAAGAGTTGAGTGATGACGTCCCTACACCGTTGACACTACAAACGTTGGGTAAGCCTGTACACATGGCTGGTGAAGCAGCTAAAACACGTTGTACGGCTGGTATCAAACGGTTTATTCTTTAGACCTTCTTCATCTCTCACTACTTTAATTTCTCTTACCTGATGACCCCGCTTATATCCAAAATGGGACCATTTGCCTAAGTTCTGTTTAAAATATAACTTTACTTTTTCGTTGATATAAAACAATAATTTACTTTATTATATAATCTCTCATAAATAACTGAGGTACACGATTCCCTGTGTCTCTTTTATGTAATTAAAACTCACGTAAGGAACTAGGGACAGTATTTGGGCAGACATCGGGTAACTTCCGATTCTTGGTTTTGACCAAGATCCACAAGTATTAAGCAAACCCTAACAATTGTCTTTACTTTTATGTTTTAAAAATATTATTAAATAATTTATTTTTTGAACATTTGATAATTTCATTTTCGTATCCTTTTGAATACCTAGTGTCTTATTATTTTTTGTAGCTTGTGAACGGCATAAAATAAAAAAAAAACTTAGGGAGCTAAAATTTTATATTCTTCTCACAAAAAGATATTTTTTATTTTACAATATATATAATTTTTGAAAAGTGTGTGAGGGGATAATGGCATTAAGGACAGAAGAAGTTAAACGTTCTAGACCCTATTTGAAGCTTTAATTCTTAATCAGCGAAAATGATGTAAACACGCCTATAATTATTACGTTTGCAAGAAAAAGGGAAATTAAGTATAAATAACTATAGTATTCATGTTAAATTATTTTATTTTATTACTTTTTTTTTCCTTTTCAAATAAAAGTCTATTTAGTTTTGACTTGTATTCAGTTATTTCTCGCTCTTTACTTTTATAATTATTGTGCACTTCATTAAGTTTGATAAACATATACTTTATTATTTTTACGATTTCATCATGTGTTAGCTTAAATAAAGAACCTAAATAACATAATTAAATTAATTATATTGTATAATAAATATTTATTAACATTTTTATTCAAAATAATTTAAAGGAAAAATAGGTAATTAAGGAAAGAAAGGTACATAAATTAAAGTTTAAAAATGTTCATTAATTATTACTAGATTAATATTCTAATTAGCATTTTGAGAGAATTCTGAATGCGCCTTGTAATTTTATCGAAGCCTACTAAAAAATTAAGAAAATTTAAACAGAAATATTTTTATTAAGGTGTAAAATTAAGTTAGATCCATCAAATATTTTATTCAAATTATTCCTATGATTATTTGTTTTACCTTATTATATGGGCTATAAAGACTAATTTGGATTATGCTATTATCCAATTGATTATATTATAATCCAATAAAGACAACTTCTGCAGATTATAAATAGGTTTCTTAACGTGTTAGTCTCTATGATGTTTGTAATGCTTATTTGCTTACTAGTTTTAAACGATTCACAGCAATTTAACTCACAAGAAATTTTTGTATATGTGAATTTGTTAGATAATTCATTGATAATATCTATAAAAAAATTTTCTTTGTAAAAAATCATGTTTAATGAAAAATGTATTTCTATAAGCTATTATATCCTCTCATTTAAATTAACACTATTTATATTTTTGTTTAATTACTATGGTTATATAAATTAAAATTGACATCAATTGTACATAACGCCTTATATGTCTTTTAATGCCTTGTATTATTTTGTATGATAGATTATGATAGAGTAATAATTCAAATACATAAAATAAAAATGGTTTTATAACCAGGATCCTTGTATCAACTGTAATCTTGCAAATCTGTAAATAGAGTTTGATTTGAGGTATAACTTGGTGGATCAACTTTGCGTAAAGCGATCGTATGATCCGGCTTATCAGTGACGCATAGCGACATTTTATTGACCAATATATCAAAAACTTAACTTTACTTCAAATAAATCGTTGGTTTTACGTTTAATGATGAAATAACATTTGACTTATTGGGCACATTTTTATTTTTTTGTTAATACTACATATCAGAATAAGTTACAATTTTGCCGGCTGGTAACAAAAATACCCTCTTACATGAGCTTAATGCTCAATTTCAGGTTGTGGATACAGGTTTGTGACTGTTCACTTTAATTGCTCATCGGTTGGCAAACGCATTGAGACTACTCGTACAATATTATGCATGTTTAAGTATACTTCTGTTTCGAATTTGTTCCATAAATTTTTCAGTCTGCACAATTTTGAAACATAGTAATTCTGCTCTTTTTAACTCTGTGCTAGATAACCATTCTGTTTTCTTTGCATATTATTTCTTTAGTGAAGAGCATTCGCAGTAAATCTAACGATCCGTGACTAAATACTAAACCTATCTATCAAACTATTCTGAGATAATATTGAATTCAAGGCTAGCTTGTTTTTCTTTCTTTCTGGAATCTCAATCAGTTTATCCTTTTCATTCTTTTGCCAGGTTACTTCATTTTTCTGTAAATAGAATTGGTCACTTCATCAAATTTGAGAGACTAACGTTGAGACACATTCACAGTAGTATAGAAATAGTGTGTTCTAGAGAACAAAAGATGCCGCCATGATAATTAGTGACAAGCGTCATCTATAAGCAATAATTAAGAATGTTAATGGTAATTAAAGAGTTAATTAATGTCAATCGATATAGGTAAAGTCGTAAATCAAGTGTGTAATGATTAAAATTTCGATATTAATTTGGGTTGATGGAGGGTAGGTTGTCAGCTATAGATAAGTCATTGTTGGTGTGGCGTATACAGCAACGCGTGCCCCTCGACCAGCAACATCACAGATGTTACGTCATACAAATGCCCTTTTATGTCGATTATATCCCATACAATAATGTTAAAGAATCTCCCCCTGCCTACATCCTACCCTGATAATTGTACATCAAACAGTTGCACGATATATTGCATAATCGATGTCCGTCGACGTAGACGGAGTATAAGTCATAGGTCGTGTAACCGCCCTGATGACAGCGGCGTAAATCGCCATAGTTTCCACCTCTTTAGTGCGATAATAATACGATGCACGCCGTCGGGGTAGCAGTAAGCTTATCCCTACAGTGTGCATTGTATCAAGTATGATATATCAAAATTAACCCTACAGTATAGCCAGTTATTTTAATTTTAGATAAAAATTGTACGTAACATTTTGATTTTGTGTAATTTATTAATAAAAACTGAATATATTTATTATTTATTTATTTGTTTGGATTATGACACAGCGGGCGGTCGGCCATATAGCATACATGAAATATAAGTTTTTTTTGACGAAAAAAGTTTTAGTTAATTTTTTCTTAGGATAGATAAACATTAAAAATTTGTTTTGCCGCTTTAAAATATGTTTAACTAAATATTTTCATCGAAGAAGTTTTATTCTCCAATCCCCCTTCCTTAAAACATTCATGCGCTTAATAGTCAATAGCTCTAGACAAAATATATTGTTACTATATTCCTACTGTTACTTTAAAGTATATTCTTTTAATTTAACTTTTAGAACCCCACATTTTAGATTCGATGCGAAGCTGAGAAGGTATTACTTTAACATGATGTGTTAATTTTTTTTTGTGTCTGTCACTAGTAGGGTAATTCTAAGCCCTCTCCGCTTCATCCACCCCCACCACAACACCGTAGTGATGGGGAAGAGGGGGGAGTAAATCCAACGTAAACTAACATATTGCAATGGGAGGGGCAATGACGAAAGCCAACGTAAACTAACCTAAGAAGAACCTCTCCTCTTCCACCATGTCTTACGATTGGGGTGGGGGAATGAAACTTAAGGTAATCTAACTTAATAGGAAAGTTGGGGGGGGGATGAAACACGACGTAAACTAACACAAATTGTCACGCGCCTAAATTATGCTCGGCCATATAGTATATACATAATATCGGTTATTTGACGAAAAAAAAAAATGCATTTTCCAGGTAAGCTATACGGTTACGGTGAAAAATATAAATTTTAAATGTCGAATCCGCTATTTTGATATGCGACATGCATATATTTAGATAAATTATGTACGGAAAATGTTAATTTTACCTAATTTGTAAAAAAAATTAGTTCGAAACATTGTATTGTAACATTGTATATATATATTTTGTCTGAATTATTACTGGTATCCCTCCCATTGTTATAAATCATTTCTGTATTTAACAACTGTAATTAATTATTTTTAATAAAATAATAGCTTCGACTGGACGGATTGCATTCTTCATCCATCAACACATTAGAGACGGCAGACGGTCATAATTTTTACAAAGGCGTCTGTTTTAAATCCTAATGACATATATGTCTAAACATTTCACTTTAAGACTGAATGTTTTCACGCTATTATAAATAACGATTCAATTTATCAACTAATTGTCTTGGATAGCGTTTATAAAATTTAATGTAAGTGCTGTATAACATGTAGAAACTTGAATATTTTTTTTTCAGACCACTTGATATACTTTAGTCATTTTGCTCACGATATACGATGTACTTGTGCGATTAATGACCGCGCACCACCAACATTGGTACAGCGGTTAATACAGTAACAATCCGTATTTATAAAGACATCAATAAAGATTATATTCACTCTTTGACTAAGCGTTATTAACGGCTCGTTAACATATTGCTTAAAAATATTCGGTTAAACGTAAGCAAGTACTAGTATTTATTTTTTATTTAAATTTAAAATCGAATAACAATGGCTGATGTTAATTTTACTGGTGCTGCACAAGGTAAGTTTTTTTGATTGAATATTTCGATATTTTCGATACACAAATTGTTTTATACACATTATATCATAGCCACCTCTTCCGCGACTGTTCCACACCATCATTCAGTTAAACGTAGGGCTAACAACAGTAGGGTAGAATCGAAAAGGTTGCGTATACAATTGCCGGACGCGAAAAATTTCATCGAGATTGATTCCGCATTGAAGCGAGGAGCCGTTTGGTTTTATCGGAAAAACGTGGAAAATTGACAATCGCATAGGTATCTATACTTTTTTTTTTATCTTTGAATTGACACCAGGGAGGAGTACTGCCTTTGCTTTGCTTTCCCCCGAGATGCCAACGTTTATTTATTTTAAAAACACCAATTTTATTTGCTATGTTCTTAATCTATTCTAATACTAAACATTCATTATTTTATCTTAATTCTACTGTACATTATTTCATCTATTTACAATATTACACATTTGAGCCCTGCTCCCGGATCTGTCCATTTATCTTCTTAGGTCGTCTATCCAGACCGCCACCTTCAAGTCACGTACCCTGCCTCCGCCTTTCCTCGCACTCTTTTGTCACCAGTATGTTCTCCACGTATGTCCTTACCAGATCCCATTCCTGTCTGCTCCTCAGCATGATTCGCACAATGCTCTCCGGCGTGACTTGTGCATTCAGGTATGCTTCCAAAGTCATAAGCTCTCTACACCAGCATTCACACTGGAAAAACGTGTGTTCTGCAGTGTCGAATTGGGCCCCACAGGACACGCACTCCGGACTGGCCACTCTCTTATACTTGTAGAGGTAGGTCTGAAAATATCCATGACCCGATAAGAACTGAGCCATGTGGAAATCGACCGTTCCGTGGTTACGTTCCACAACCTTTACAAGGTTGTACAAACCTTTACGAGTGGGCTATGAGTCAGCCCATGCCGTACGGTGGCTTCCGGTGGTATGAAGGAGCAGATCCTCTGGCCGACCTCCAATTGCTTTCGGACAATGGTAATACGGGACGAATATATGAAGTGGACGTATCGTATCCAGAAGAGCTGCATGACGAGCACAACGACTTGCCGTTCTTGCCTGGCAACGATGTACCACCGGGTTCCAAGGAGACCAAACTCATGGCCACTTTGAAACCCAAACAACGGTACGTCGTACACTATGTCAACTTGAAACAGGCGATCGCACACGGACTATTAGCTATGATATTAATATGTTTGTCATACAGGTGCACCGCGTTTTAGAGTTTCAACAAAGTGCTTGGTTGAAACCGTACATTGAGTTGAACACTGAAATGCGGAAACAGGCAGCAAATGCTTTTGAAATAGCGTTTTTCAAATTAATGAATAATGCCGTCTTTGGTAAGTGCACGTTCAATGCTAAAGCAGTTGTGGGTTATTCGATAAATATTTATATTTTATAAGGAAAACCATGGAGAACATGTGGAAACGTATCCGCATTGAACTAATCTCCAGGTCCGAACGTCTAAGCAAGCTCGTAAACCAACCAACCTTCAACGACTGTATCAAATTAGCTACCTGTATTTGTAAACCCTTGTGTATTATATATGTATATTAACTCAAAAATTTGAAACTTTAAATGTTTATATTTAATAAACAAATAAAAGTATATTAAAAATTCAAATGCATTCTACAATTAAATTAAAAACTCAAACATTTTATTAAATTCAAAATATGTACTCACATTTAAAAAAAAAAAGTTGACACCCTTACTAGGCATAAGGGATGAACTTAAAAAGTTTTACATAGTTAATAATTCAAGAATAATGTGTAACTAAGGATAATAAAAAAAAAAATGTTTATTGTAATTATTATTATTTTGTAAGTAATTGAGGGGTTATGATAAAAAAATCACTCTGTATACAATGTATTTTATGGTTGCATTTTTCATGTGAATTTTATTAAATAATGCGATTTTTGTTTATATTACTCAGTTATCTCAAAAAAGGTCTCACTGCATTTAATGAGATAGTAAACAATTATTATGTATCATTGATGCGCTGTAAGTTGCCTTGAAATTATTTGAAAATGCATTTTATAAATGAATATAAAAAAGTAAATGTGAAAATATGATAACATAAATATACATAACAATTTTTAATAATAAAATTTAATGATCAATTAGTAATTGATATAGTTTATATTATATTGCACATAGATAATAGTAGTATTTAAAATAATTTTCAATATTTAACTAACAATTTTTGTTTGTAAATTTCAATCATTTTTTTAAACTAATTTATGTTTTGTGTAACAACATAATTAATTGTAATAATATTTATTATAATAAATATATTTTTTTTATGTTCCTAAGTCAATTAGAAAATCTTACTCAAACTGGGGGGCCTTAGTTCCCCTATTTCCGATTATAGCTACTTCTATGAATAATTGATTTGTTTAATAAATTTTTTAATTAAAACGATTTTAATTCAAAATTATATTTTAGGTAAATATGTTTGTCTAAAAGGCAAGTGTAAGGGTCAAACCTTTCTTTTGTTATTTATGACCGTCCGTTCGACCCACCGTTCGCTAACGGACGGTTCCTGTCATCCGTCGAGAACGAACGTTTTTTATTGTTCTAAACGGTAGTCCGTTCGATGTTTCATATGTTCCGAACGTGTTCACGAACAACGTTCGCTATATGAACCTACATAAAATAAAATCTGAACGTACAAGTTCGTGAACAGACGATTCAAAAATAGACCCCCAGGTCTGGGTTTTTCACCGCTTGCACCGGTATCATTCCGATTGTTCAATGCTTACGCACGTTATTGTAGTCGTGCAACAGCGCAGACAACCGATTCACCCATTTGTACGAGACACGTGCACTTAAGTCACGCCGCACTGCGTTTTTCAGCGTGCGGTTAAAACGTTCCACTAGACACGCTTTCATCGTGGAATAAGTGGAGTAATGATCAGACCCGTATTAAAAAATTTGGCACCCCGGGTATATAATTTATACCCCCCCCCTCATCACCACAATAAATAATAATAATAATATAACACTATTTATTTCGTTCATAATTGATTCTTTAATATTAAAATCCAAAAAATCCAACTTAATAATTAATAAATGAGAATTATTTAATACTTTTTTTAATTAACAAATTATAACATAATTAAAAATACAATTTTCTTTTTTTTTAAGTATTTTTTTCCTTGCTTGATTATTGGCAAATTCTTCAATTATGTCGCTATAATTAATCTGATGAGTTAATTGAGATTCAATATTACAAATTTCCAGTGCATTTAGTCTGTCTGTGGATATATTTGACCATAGATATGTTTTTATACGTCTAAGTGTTGAAAATGACCGTTCTGAGATACAATTGGTCGCTGGAGTACAAAGAAACATACGTAATGCTATACTTACATATGGAAAAATATCCTCTAACTCATGTTTCTTCATCATGGTACTCATATAAATTATACTTTTAGGATGATATTTTATATTTTGTAGATGACTTTGGAAATGGATACACTCATTTACAAAAGTTTCATCTAAATCACTTTTGTATATCAAGTATAAATTTTCAGCTTATACATATCAGCTATACATACATATATTCCGATGTTTTCATTGTATAAAGTTTTAAAAAGAAACTGTACTTAGTTATTACATTATCATATGCCAACTTTCTAGTTGTTAATTCTTTAATTATAGAGTCACAAATTACTTAATATGTATTGACTTTGAATTCTAAATCACTAGGCAAATTAACTTCTTCTAGATCAACTATTTCATCATTTTCACGGATCAAGATTATACTATATATATACTACGTATCTTAGTTTGTAGCAGTAATACAGCTATATAAACAGTAGTTCATAACATTTTTCTAAAATACAAATTACAAAAATATTAAATAAAATGCAATTATTTTTTTTTTTATTACATTTTTAAAATAAATTTTGCTAAAATATTTTGCCACCCCGGGCATAAGCCTACCCGTACCACCCCCTAAATACGGCCCTAGTAATGATTGATTGCGTATTGTGACATCAGTTTTTGAAATTGTTTATTGTAAAATTCTTTACCATTGTCCGTTTGCAAAAGCTTAGGATGACGACCATGTTTCAGTATTCCGTTCATGGCTGCGGTAACTTCGTTGGCCGTTTTATTTTTCAACGGGATGGCCCACGCGTATTNCGTATTTTGAAAATCCATCGACACACGTTAAAATCCGCGCACGGGTATACGTCCTGCGGGCCTGCCGGTGGAGTTCGTTAACAATGTTCTTATTCATAACGCCGCTGGTACCTGTTAAATGTAACCGGCTTCCTGCAGCTCTTCCAATATAGAAAAGATTTCCGGTGAAACTCCAGTGTTGCCAGACGACCGGACTGATATCAATAAACGTAAACGTTCCACAAGCTCGTTGAGGTCGTCCCAGTACATGTAATCTTTTTTCTTGTTGTTCAATCTCAATTGTAGACCCGCACCGATAATGGATGTGTCACTGATGTTGCTGCTGCTGCTTTCAAACAACGGTAAGGAATTGTTTGGGTTACCACNCGGTAAGGAATTGTTTGCGTTACCACCATCACCGTTATCAAACAATGGTTTAATGGTGTTTACATACTTTTGCCCACCTTTATTCAATGTTCCGTCTTTATTTAAATGCACACTAGTTTTGCCGAGAATCGTTTTTTACGCATGCAAATCCGATTCGGAGTAAACACCAGGGTTTTTCGAAAACAGTAAATCCACAAGACCCATAGTCAGTGGGAATTTTTCATCTAAAACATTAATTGTTCCTCTATTGAGAAAGATATTGTCGGCTTCACCTAATGTCATTGTTCCATCTGGTGATACCTTTGGTCCATACATTTTATCTCTGTTGGGGTTCATTGACCATTGATACATGTACTGATGGAAAAACCCGTCATCGTGTTCCACAGTGTATATATCATCGTTTAAACTCTTGATAGTTTGCTGTAATTGTTCTTGTTGTTGTTNATTGTTGTTTTGCTGTTGTTGCTGTTGCTGTGACGCAATTTTATCTAATGGTTTAATGATTGGCGCCAACTGACGTTTTACGCGAGTCAACGAATCCACTTCGCCACGACGCAATTCTGTGTACTTTTTTCGAACATTTTCCCGGGCTTCAGTCAACATTTTCAGCAATATTTCCTTATCGGCACTTATATTGTAACAAATGTGTCAAACTTGTATCTGTATCGACCGTCGTCCCGCGCAAAGTCCATACAAATCACTGCGAATCCGTACCGATCCTTGTTCCAACACTCTTTGCAAAACTCTATGAATTCTCCAAATTTCATATCGCAACACACGTATTCATCGTACGCGTGCCGTAGATTAACTTCATCCTGCCGGAACAACACCACCACATTTGTGTTGTCACGTAACATTTGTCACGTCAAAAGGTTAGCAGCGTAAATGACAACAGTGCGCGATTGCGGATCGGTTTGTTGACGTTGTCACTTTGACAACGAGATAAAGACTACGGTATCATTGACAGCGGGACTTCGTCGGCCGTGCGGCACTTACTGGACTTTGCACCGCGGCGTAAAACGACGCGTGGCCGTCTCAATCACAATAAAAATTTGTTATATATATATATATATAATTGATGACACGCGCGCGTCTACGGGTTGGAAAATATTGTTGTCTACAAGTGGTGAGCGGGGTGGGGTGACTGCATTACGACCGTCTAGTCTCAAGGCCGTAGACACGTGCCGCGTGGAAAGTTACAAACATCCCACAACTCACAACTCGCAACAAACAACCCACAACATACAAGTGAAACTAATATAAGCGTGTTAATGAATGAATCAAAATGTTTTATTTTTTATATTGAAACCTTAGATATTTTCATTTCATTTCATATACATTTTTTGATAATCTGACACTTTATCTACCCTGAGGGGGATTCAAAATAGCAACTTTTACAAAACTCAACTTAACGTTTGAAAATGTTTCGGAAAAACTGCATCCTTTAAAAATATGTCAAATTAAAGCTTATATTACGTACTATGAATTAAAAAAATAAAAATTTGTCCCGACGACTTATCTTCTACGTGCAAACGGTTGCCACAGTTAAAAAAATGCTATTTTTGTGTTAAAATTTTCAATTTTCGATTTTTAATTTTCAACTTTAAATTGCTATAACTTTTTGAAAAATGTATAGATCAACACAAATTTTTATTTCTCAATATATTAAGGGATATATATATCCCTTTTATCCGACATACTTTTATTTTAAATCGAGCTATTTCCACTTATACAGGAGGCATGCAAAGCTTAGAACATACGTATAAAAAGTGGAACTTATTAAACTTAACTTTTGAAAATGTTTTGGAATAACTGCGTTCTTTAAACATATGTCAAATTAAAGCTTATGTTACGTATTATAAATTAAAAAAAAAATTCTCCTGACGACTTGCAATGACTGTCAAAATTGAACAAAAAATGTAATTTTCGTGTAAAAATGTTATTTTGGTATTTAAAACTGCCATAACTTTTTAAAATATTAAAAAATTAAAATAATGTATTTTTATATTGAAACCTTAGATATTTTCCTTTCATTTGATATGCATTTTTTGATAATCCGACCCTTTATCTACCCACAGGAGGGATGACGATTTATCTTCTACTTGCAAATCATTGACATCATTAAATAGAAAATTTTATGACAATTAAAAAAATTGTATCGTTAGGATCAATATGTAGTCAGAAAGTTTTATAATTACTATTTATTGTAAATTTATAAGAAAAGCTCAATATTTTTTTGCATTTTTATGGTAATAGATAACTTAAATAGAAGTAATAGTAATAATTTCCTAGGAACTTTTGTTGTTTGAAAAGATTCTACAATTGAAATATTGAGAACTTAATTAATTTTAATGATTTACTTTAACTAAATGAACCAATCAAAACAAAGTTGTTAAAAAGATTTACTCAATTGAGCGTATTATAAAATTTGATTATATTTGTAAAAATCAATTGTTAATTCAGGAGAAAAAACAATCATTTTTTTTAGAAATGATTTATATAGCAACATGTTACAAAAAAATTTGTAATATTATAGTCTAGTAATAGCACACAAATAGAGTAAAAAAATTATTAAATTACAAAGTAAAATGATTTAATTTTGTAGTTGAAACCTATCATATCAAACTTAATTCGTCAATAAATACTTTGAAAACATTAGAAATTAATGATTTTAATTGTCTTTATGGAGACGATGGAATAACTAACTGTTTAATTGATAAATTAGAATTATTTTTTCAATTTTTGAGGGTAATATCTTCAACTAGATACAAATTGTAGTCATTTGACGTATCGTTGAAAAAAGTAGGTCAAGTTAGAGCAGAGAAAATAAATGATAGTCACAAAAATATATCTTCTCAGCTTTGCATCGAAGCTAAAACTTAAAATATAGTAAAATAATTTTAATACGAATAAGAAATTTCTTCTTACAAGGGGCGACTAAAGTGATGGGATCCTTGATCTTTATTGAAGTTATTGAATATAAATGAGATAAATACAAACGAGTTAAAAATTTATACTAACTAAAAAAGAATTAAGAAACAATGCAAAAAATTCATTGCCATACGCGGGTTGGAACCTCGTACCCCAAGCGTGTAAAAAATAAGCTTTATCAACTCGGCAACCGTATGTTGTTACAGTCGAATGAAAAAATTGGCTATTTAAGCTAAATCAAATTTCAAAATTATTTTTCTCGACTTAAAAGAAGCAAACAAATTTAAATAAGTTTAACTTTCTGTGCTATATTAATTTTAATTTATATAATATTTATGAAAATCTGTACTCCCCTTGTCAGGTATTTTAAAATAAAATAAAAAACGAAACCTAGAATTTTAACACAAAAATAGCAAAATTTTGAATACGGTAGTCATTTTTACCATGAAGACAAACCCAGAGGTCAAATTTTTTTTTTTCAAATTAAAGTATTTTACATAAGCTTTAATTTAAGATATATATAAAAGCATCAGTCTTTCCGGAATACTTTCAAAAATTAAGTTGAAAAAGTTGTCATTTTGAATCCCTTTCTGTGGGCAGGGAAAGGGTCAAATATATAAAATGATAGGTAAATATCTAAGGTATCTATAAATAAAAAATGATAGTGATTCGGTCATTTTTAAAAGTTATGGCAATTTTAAGTAAAAAAAAATGAAAAAATATCGAAAATTAGCGATTTTTTAATTTTGAATTTTTTGGGGGATTTTACCCGTTTACGGGGAACGAGGGATTTTTTTTCAATTTTTGAGGGTAATGTCTTCAACTAGATACGATTTGTGATCTTTTGACATATTTTTCACCAAAATCGGTTCAGTGAGAGCTGAGATTGAGCGTATACAGACACAAAAAAATAACACATCATAGTAAAATTATTACCTTCTCAGCTTCGCATCGAAGCTAACATTGGTTTAGTACGAGTAATGAAGTGAGCTTAGCCCTATTTGATCCTCTGAATACGCCACTGAACACAGAATACAAAAAATTACTGATCGACGATCAGTAATTTTTCTTAATTAGATAATTTTTTTATAATACAGGCTATACAAAAACGTAACTAATAAAAACAAAAAATATTACCAAAATTATTTTAATTTTATAAGTAATTAAGTGAGTTATGATAAACAGTCTCCTGTATTACAATTTTTTTTATGTTACCAAAAAGGCAATTTTTAAATCATATACAATAGCATATAAATATGACACGATTTTTACAAAACTGTATAACCTTTTATTACCAAAACATAGCAATCCACTAAATTTACATTGTAGATCAAAGAACATTGTAAAAAAGTTAAGTCATAAAATAAGACACTTTCAATTATAATGTCATGTACATATATTATAATTAGATTATTAATTTCAAATTTAAGGCTGAATTGAAACAAAAATTATTAGAGTTAAATATTGGTATAATAACAATCAAGTTATAAATTTAATTTAAAGTCACATTATATTTACAAAAATAGAAAGAAAAAATACACGAAAATTGTAAGAATCCATATTTATAAATATATTAACTGATAATAATAATTTTGAGACAATTGCTCAAATAATAGCATACAATTATATTTTTTATTTAATTCTACATTTTTAAATAAATGGACAAAATTTCTAATATTTAAGATTCAAGTATATTAAAGATCACTAAACTGCTCTGCTAAATATACTCTAGTTGTAGCAGAAAATGGAACTTTGATCACTTTAGTTTTGGCGCCAATCATCATATTTTCTAATAATGTTTCAAGAGCAGGAACTGATAATATGTCAACATTGTCTTGTTTGTCTTTTTCTTTATCTTTCTCCAGTATTAATTCCCCTGGTTTTTGCCTCATTTTTCTTGTTCTCAATATTGGTATATTATTTGAAGTTTCTTTAGTATGAGACAATTCTAAATTGTAACCTATTGTATGTTGATTTTGTTGATATTGAGTGATAAATAGATCTGTTACTCTTAGAAGTTCATGAGTTAATCCCCAAACTAAATGTGTCAATGTTCCAGACAGTTTTTTGAGGCAATCAATTAAGTGACAATTAGTTGTAGCAGACTGAAATTAAAATTTATAATAAAAAAAAAAAAAAAGGTTACAAATTCTTACTATTTTATGGCACTTACTTGACTAACATAAGCCGGAATGATGAGTAATCCTCGAATTCCATCACATTTTTCTAATTCATCTTCTACACAATTACTGAATTCTATATTAATAAGTTCCAAAATATTAAGCTTCTCTAAACTTCTAATAGCACTGAAAACTGATTGAGCATATGTATCCCACCGTCCACAACAATTTTCTAGTCTTAAAGATCTCAAATTAATAAATTTTCTTAATGATGTTGCAAAATCATGTGGCATGCAGTCACAATCACCAATTTCCAAAAACTCTAGACTTGTTGAAACCGAATCCAAACTTTTACAAATATCTTTTGGAAATTGTTTGATTGAAGTTAATGACTAAAAAATAATTATTTATTTATTTATTTAAAAAGAATACTTAAGTATTGTACTCCAAGCTAAAGTTAATATGTAAACAAATTTCTTCTCTGTAAGTTAGGTGTATGATTTTTTTTTGATATTATGTTTTTTTAAGTAAATTAATTGTTTCACTTTTAAGTTATACTAAAGCCGTATAAAGTGCCTTAATTGGTTACAGATGTACAAGTGTAAAGGCTCCCAGTCTTTGTGAAACCTTGCCCAATAGACTACAAAATATATTTGCAATAGCCATGCTGACATTCCCACCATCTGGGTGTTGAAAGACTCTTTAGGTTGGTGAATCAGTGTACTCTGATGTAGAGACAACAACGCAACCTTATAAAAAAACTCATAGTTAAAAAACCTATGAAGTTTTATTATTATACTGTATATTAAGATGATAGCAGATAATAAGAAAGTGAAGGTTGGGAGAAAGCACATAGATAGGACAGTTAGAACCTGACATTTTACAATATAACAGAAATGTAACCAGAGTGATATACTTCATACCCTTGAAGAATGATTGATATGTACTTTTCTAGAAAAATCATACACAAATACACTTGGAAATCTCTAATTGAGGGATATATAATCGAATTGACCACATATTTATTAACAGGAGATATAGTGACAACTTATAGAGTAGCTGACCACTACTCAGTGTATGCTTAATTTAATCTAAGATGGTTAACAAAATAGAACCTAGAGAAAACGAAAGCCACACTGAAATTCAATATACAAAAATGGAATAATGTTACAATAGATGATAGTTATATAGAGAAATTTTCACATGAATTACAAAATATTGATATAAATCAAATAAAAGATAATACAGGAATTAATATGATTTGAAAATAGTCATTAATCGTGCAACAGATTTTAGGAATGTATTTAAAGAAAATTGGTTCAACAATACCTGTAATAATGGTTGAAAGAAATGAACTGAAGAAATAGACACTGCAAAACTCATCAGCAAGTGTGTAAGAAAATATGGAACACAGAGAATATTGACCAATAAAACATAAGGAAAAGAAAAAAACCAACCCAGCACAGGGGGGTTGCGGCACAGTGGTGACGTGGCATAGTTGGATCAAGTATAATGATATCTGACAGTGATTAAAATCACTATAAAAAAAAAACGCTTCGATGCAAATCTTTAGATAGTTTAATTTTAAAAAATTGGTGGATTATTCCAAAAGCTTCATAAACTGCTAGTTCCTTATTAATATCCTGATTAAGATAAAGTATGTCAAATGAAAAAGGGATTATTAAAAAATAGTATTTCCCATAAAAAAATTATATTGATCAATACACTTTTCAATAAGTTATAGCATTATAAAGTTAAAAATGTAAAAAATAAAATTGAGAATTTTCACACAATAATAGCATTTGGTAGCCATTTTCACCTTGAAGATAAAATAAAGTCCGAAATTTTTTTTTTCCATGATAAAGTATATTACATTAGCTTTAATTTAAGATATATATAAAAGTGTCAGACTTTCCGGAACACTTTCAAAATTTAAGTTGAAAAAGTCAATTTTTTGTGAAAAAGTTGTCATTTTGAATCCCCCCCTGTAGGCAGGTAAAAAATCAGATTTATAAAAAAAATATACCAAATGATAGGTAATGACATCATGCATCTATAAATAAAAAGAATTATATTGATATGTTTATTTTTAAAAAAGTTATAGCAATTTTAATTAAAAAAAATTGAAAAAATTTTGAAAATTAGCGATTTTTAAATTTGTAATTTTTTTGGAGGTTTCCCCCATTTACGGGGAACGAGGGAATTTTTTTCAATTTTTGAGGGTAATGTCTTCGACTAGATACGATTTGTGATCTTTTGACATATCATTGAAAGAAATCGGTTTGGTGAGAGCTGAGAAAAAGTGGTAACAGACACAAAAAAAAAAAAAAAAAACACATCTTAGTAAAACCAATACCTTCTCAGCTTCGCATCGAAGCTAATATCTACGTAAAAGAAGAAATAGAAACATTAAATACAAAGAAGTTTTTCAAAATGATAGGGGAAAAGAACGTTTGTTTGAAGCCACAAAAAGGAATAATACAGGAAGCACGATCACAAAAGAAAAACTAATCATAAATAATTTTATAAAAAATTTTCGAATACTTTTTAATCACCCACAGTAGCACATGATTTACATCTAAATATGAACTGCTATATAGAAAAAATAGATAGAGATACAGAGATACAAAAAGATTGAGGTTTTAGTTAAAAAGCTTAAAAATAACAAAGTGTTTTCAAAAATTGAGAAAGCTTAACTTGTGTACAAAAATTTTTTTGAATTCATCCAGCGGGCAGGTTTAGAGTCAGATTTTCAAAAAAATTATATCAAATGAAAGAAAAATATTTAAGGTTTCAATATACAAAAAAATAATTTTAATTTGTTCATTTTTCAAAAAGTTATGGCAGTTTTAAGTATTAAAATATTTCATATATAACAGTGATTTTTACATAAAAATTATAAATTTCGTTAAATTCGACGGCCATTTTCCTGTAGAAAAAAAGGTGTCGGGACAAATTTTTTTTTTTTAAATTTATAGTATTTATTGTAAGCAATAATGACATATGTTTAAAGTATTTACAGAAAATTTTCAAAAGTTAAGTTGAAAAGTTTTAATTTTTATACGTATTTTTTAAATTTTGAAAGCCCCCCGTTTAAAGAAAATTGTCTAATTTAAATAAAAAGTATGTTAAATTAAAGAGGTATATATAAACCTAATAAATAGGCATTTAGAAAAAAAAAATTTGTGTTGATACATCATTTTTTTTACTTAAAATTGCCATAACTTTTTTAAAAATAACCAAATCAATATTATTTTTTTTAAAAATCTGACCCTTTACCTGCCCATAGGGGGGATTTAAAATGACAACTTTTTCAACTTGACTTTTGAAAGTGTTCCGGGAAGTCTGACACTTTTCTATATATATTAAATTAAAGCTAATGTAATCTACTTTATTATGTAAAAAAAAAATTTCGGACTTTATTTTATCTTCACAATGAAAATGGCTACCAAATGCTACTTTTGTGTAAAAATTCTCGATTTTATTTTTTACATTTTTTACTTTATAATGCTATAACATATTAAAAAGTGTATGGATCAACATAATTTTGTTATGAAATAATATGTATATCCCTTTTTCATTCGACATACTTTATCTTAATCAGGATATAAATAAGGAAATAGCAGATCATGTAGCTTTTGGAATAATCCACCAATTTTTAAAATTAAATACTATCTAAAGATTTGCATCGAAGCTTTTTTTATGATTGTGATTTTAATCACTGTCAGATATCATTATACTTGATCCAACTATGCTACGTCACCACTATGCCGCGCCCTCCCTGTGCTGGGTTTTTTTTTTATTGAAATCTTAGATATTTCTCTTTCATTCGTAATCATAATTTTTTGAAATTGTAACACTTAACCTGCTCACAGGGAGGATTTAAAATAGCAACTATTTTACAAAACTCAACTTCTTATTGAACTTAACTTTAGAAAATGTTTCGGAAATACTGTGTCCTTTAAAGATATATCAAATTAAAGCTTATCGTGTACTATAAATAGAAAAAAAATTTGTTCTGACACCTTAACTTCTGTGTGCTATTTTCGTGTTCAATTTTTGTTTATTTATTTTAAAATGCCTTATAAGAGTTTGCCATAGTAATGAGTACCCCAATAAATAAAAAATTTACATGAATCTAACTTACATTAAATAATAATTTATACTCATTTTGATTATTTTGCCTCTTCAAAGTTAAAAAAAGATTTTGGGTAACTTAAAAATTTGTATAAGTAGAACTATTTTAACTTAACTTTTGAAAATGTTCTGGGAATGATGCGTCTTTTAAATATACGTTAAAATAAATCTTATTTTATGTACTAGTAGTTCAAAAAAAAAAAATGACCTATTTTCTATGTGCAAATGGCAGTTGAAGTATTACAAAAAATAGGAGATAATTTTGCTTTTGATATAATCCACCAATTTCTTAAAATTAAACACTATCTACAGATTTGCATCGAAGCATCTTTTATGATACTGATTATAATCGCTTTCAGATATCATGTCCCACTATACTACAGCTTTTTTTATTTTTATTTAATTAGGTAATTTAATAATTTGTAATGCACAAATATTACCAAGTAAAACCCATGGTTCGCCGCTTTTTATTTTTAAATAATAATGTTACTCTACTTTAGTGGCTTTTTGCAAATGTAAATTTTTTCATATCACTCTCCAAATTTTGCAAAAGTTAATAGTAAAATACTTACTAAAGTTTTCAAATTAACTAAATTTTCCATGGATGAAATTGTTGTTAATTTTATTCCACTTAATCCTTTTAATCTTATTTCAGTTAGATTGGTCATTTGGCCTAAATATTTCAGACTTAATGCCATAAACTCAACAGAATTTTTTGCTTCTTTAATTAAGTGAGGATTTCTAAAATTAAAAATTCAACATGACATCATAATTATTAAATTAATAGATAAAATTTCAAAATATTAAAATATGAATGCACTTAGATTTTTAAATAAACACCATGATAAAATTTTGTGTTAAAATATAATAATTAAAAGTATATCAATGAAATAAATGAGATTTTTGAATAAATTAATTTTAATAATTAATAATTATTAACTACTAATTATAATTAGTAAAAGTTTTAAAGTTAATTTAATTTTCTGAGTACTTAATTACTTTATTTCCTTAAAAAACATATTTTACATTATTTATATAATATTAATACATTTACTATTTCCCAAAAAAGAATATATCAAAAACCTAAAACTCAAAAAGATACTTAATTTTGACAGTGATAGGACTATTTTATTTGAATATAAATAAGTGAAAACCTAGTAAAACATCCTAAATATAGTATTAGATATTTAACAATAGCAATAAAACTAAGGTGTAAACACTTATGTAAAGAAACCAAATTAATATAATTTGGTAGAAAGTAAGCACAATGGACCTACCAAGTCTGAGTACATGGCATAACTAAAATTAAAATGGTGTTATGGTAATATGTAATTAAAATACAGGGGTATAATAAAATAAGAACTCGTATATAAAGTAATAGATTTTAGATGTTTATTTTCTTAAAACTATTAAAAATGTTACATTTTTGTAAAGAGAAAAAGTAATTGGTTCAAAAAACTATATCATAAATGTTGTCAAATTCTCTTTTAGCACTACAAAAATAAAAAGAATAAAAAAATGATAATAATACAATTTTTTGTAATTTTTCTGTCTATCATGTCATTGAGTCAAAAATAATAATACTTATATTAATAACTTAAGTAGGTTTATTGTCCCAGAAGGGATGAAAAACAAAATTATTTGATATTTTGAAATTTATAATATTTAATTAAAATAATTAATATTTATTTAAACATTATAAAATATTTTGAACCAAATATTTTTTCTCTTTATGAAAAAAATTAAAAATGATCATCCTGTATTATGGTTGTTATGTTTTAAGCGTGCTTATAACACCAAAAATTAAAAATTTTCAATGGTCTCATGGCTCATTTTAAATATTGTTAACAATTAACTTATTTTTTAAATAGGGTTTTTTTTTAATATGTTTTACAACAATCCTGCACTGTATATTAATATTGAAAATTATTAAATAATTTTTATCTAAATAATATTTTCAGACTTATAGTCTAATTATATCTTATTCATTAAAAAATATTGTTGTTGTTTTTTAAATGACTGCTTTAAATACAACTTTATAAATATATATCTTTGAATACTCTAATGCTTTCTACCAATTCTCTGGTTCAACTAAAATCTTTTATATCTCTAATAAATGGATAATTAAATTAATTTTATAGGATTTACTTTATTGAAGTAGAATTTAATACAGCAAGTTGTGGTAATGCATAAATAGCATCTTCAACGACATGAGTTGGACATCTATAAAGTTCAATAACTCTCAGTTTTTTAGCTTTTTTTATAGATGCAGAGAATTTTAGCCAAAAACTTTCAAAATCATCTGTTTTTGTTGGTATGAGCATACGACGTGTATCCAATGATATGGTTCCTAAATTATCAATGGTATTTACAAACTTTTCCCAATCATAAACCATTGAATTTTTCAAGCGCACATTTTGCCACTGTAAAGATTTATAATGTTAAATTGAAATATTGAACATGTCATTATTTAATTTTTATAACTTAATTACCAAAAGTCTATTCATTGCTATAATATTCCAAGCTGTACACACTCTAGATGCTGATAGAAGCTCATGTGTTTTTAAATGTTTAAAAACATGTCTCATAGCATTTACCATGTAATTAAATGATTGCATAGATGCCATTGGATGAGAAGGTTCAGTAAGTGTTCCATTAATTTCAGAATTTCTATAATTATAAATAGTTTAGTTAATTTACGTTATTATGTTAATAAAATGTAATAATTATATTTTTTAAACTTTAAAGAAGGGTTTATAAACTTTATTCTCGACCAGGCACATATAAAAACCATTAGTTTTGAATATGCTAAAATCAAGGTATAAAAATATATAACATATTAATTAAATTAAAAAAAAAATAGGGGTGGAGAGGAAATCAAGGATGTAGATTTTCTGCTGATATCTGAAAAAAAAACATAATCAAATAGTTAAAAACAGATATAAATAAACTTACTGTTTCAAATGAAAAGACTAATGACCAATGCTTTTGTGTGCCTGGTCAAAATAACATTTACCTTCATGTATGACAAAAACTATTTTTACTTACTCATCTAAAAATTTGGGTTCTTGAACAACACAAGTCATTAAACTAGGACCTCTTGTTTGTTTCATTTCATAAACATATTGTTGTTGAAAACTATCATCTACCATAGCAGTTTTGTAACTAGCTCCTTGACAAATGACTGTATTAGTTTTACTATTATTTTCTGTAGAATTTATATCAATTGACTCATGAGAGGACTCTTCAAATTTTGGAGTTCGATCAATAAAAAAATTAGGACTATTTGTTGTTTGTTGAACTTGACGAATTCGTATAGGTTCAATACGCAATTTCTCTGGTTCAGATGCACCAACAATAATTGTGTGTGATGGTTGAGAACGCTTATATTTTTGATTTACAGATGATCGACAATTCTATCAAATCATCATTTGATATAATTTTTATAATTTTACAATAATACTTAATTTACTTAAACCAATAAATACTTACAATGCAAACATAACCAACAATTTTAAGATTTGGATTTAAATGAACACACGCTGGATGATAATAGACCAAACATTGTGCACACATTAGAGTAGCTGGTTCATCACTATTTGGACAACGTAAACCACATGGAGCTTGCATTATAACTTCTCCATCTGATACTGACAACCTAATTTATCCATTCACGTATATGGTTTGAACGAGGAAGGATAATGAAGGAAGTGTAAGGAAACAACCCCTTAATTTTGCATTATACAAGTAAAGCCAATGTAGCAAACTAATAAGCCAAAAATTGTTTAAAATTAATAAAAATGATTAATTAAAATACCGTCTTTTGTTGATGATAGAATTTTTAGGTTCTGTATCATTAATTTTCAATGGAGAAGATGTAACACTGGACTGTATTGCTTGCCAATCTTCATCAATATACTCTGGAGTTGATAATGAGGTGTTCACAGTTTCTATATTAGCTAAGATAAAATTAATTAATTTTGAGATAATGAAATAAATTTTAAGTGTAAGTGACCTATATTATTAGTATAATGTAAATATATGATAAAATTATAAAATTTTTAATTTACTAAGATGACTAGAGTCCAGATTTTCATAATTTTATTAAGGGTACGCAGTTTGGTGGTAGTAAGGAATGTCAACAATTATTAAAACAAGAAATTTATAGGAAGAAGTTTTCATTGCATAAAATTGTACATTTTATGGTCAAGAGAATATTTAGATATTTTGCAAAAATGTAGGTAAATTAAGATGTTTTAAAATTAAAACATAAAAACCGAGAACAGTGGAGATATGGCAAATAATTTGGAACAAATAGATAGTATTTAATAGTAATTAAAATCACTATAGTAAAAAATGCTTCAGTGAAAATCTGTAGATAATATTTAATTTTTAAAAGGAATTGTTAAATTATTATTAAATCAACTCCTAAATTACATTCTGATTACAAGTTGTATTATTTATTAATTATTATATTAATAAATACATATTATTTAAATTAAATTTGTATAAAATTAATATTTAATATTTTGTATTGTAAATTCACAGAGAAATTATAAAACTGTTGTATAAATTTGTTTGCTATTCCTAGGGCAAAGTTTAAGCCACTTTCCAAAATGAATAGAAAGTTTTTGAGCTCATACCAAATCACTAAACATAAAGAAACTGATAGATATATATAAAATGATTAAAAGTGGAGTGCATAAGAATCAAAACTCTAATGATAATATTGTATTAAGACACTCATACTATTTTACAAATAAAAATAATAAAATAATTCTTAACTATTAAATACCTTTTTCTTTTTTGGTTTTTGCTCTGGATCCTTTGACATTTTTAAATAAAATTTTCATCTTGCTAGATGATTTATTGTTTTCATCATCTGAGAACTCATGATCATGTGACTGTCGTAAAGGAGTTTTTGTCTTTTTAGATTTCATAGAAACACTAACAAACGAATCTTCCTGTAAATATATATATCAATAATTTAACTTTATTTTAAAAATAAAATGTGTTAATAAATTGTTACCTTGGAAAATTTAGTGTTTGCATCCCTTATTATTTCTTTAGATCTGTCATTTAAGCCTAATGGTTGTTTTAAAAATGTAAAACTTTCTATAGTTAGAGAACTATTATCAATTGTATCTAAGTGTTCTTGAATTTCTCGTAGTGATCGAAGTTTTTTATTACTTGGGGAGTAATAATAAACATCACCACTTCTATTAGATTTATTAGCAGCAGTTTCCCCTATGGTTCTATATACTAATTCTCTTTTCCAACCTAAAATTAAAAATAATGGAAAAACATTTTAAGAACTTATCTAAATTTTTACTTACCAAATTCAAACGGAAGTCTATAAATAGGATCACTTATGTCAACATTTGCTTTTCTTCCAATACTTTTTCTGTTCTTAGGTGTAGAAGTAAGATTGAAAGTTGGAGTTGTTAACTCTAAACATCAATAAAAATAAAAGATAAAGGTATTTTATACTATCAAATGAAGAATAAGCTAAATAAAAGTTGACTGATTAATAATCAGTTTAGTACAAGCAACATCCAGAAAGTTAAGTTAAAAATTTTCTATAGGCTACAGGGTAATTTTTTTTTCCAAAGTTTGTCTAAGTATCATTAGAATTTGAAAATATCATCACAGAAAATAAGAATTCCAAAAATAAGAACAATTTAATTAATTGTGATCTTGGTCTACTGAAAAGTTCATTATCTTGTGTAAACTGGCATAATTTGATAATATTACTTAGCAATAACATCACTAGATGATAACGGGTATATAAGAGGGTTTTTTTTTTCGTTTGAGGTGTCAGTATGTATTTAAGTTTGATAATAGTAAGATTGTTCTCGAAATATATATCTAATATTTTTTAGTAATTTTTTAGTGGCTTTTTGAATTATATATTTTTTATTTTTAAATTGTTAATATTTTTAATATAGGCTTAATTTATGTTCAATGTATGAACTACTCTTAAATAAGCCTAACTCGTAATTTGAATTTTGATCAGACTGAAAAACCAGACCACTATTCTGATGACAAAAATTATGAAAATGATAACTTATAGAACCACTTCCAATAAAAAGAAAAAAAGGCAATTAAGACTTAATTACGAGCGGTTAGAATCAGTCTTAGATGAGAATAGGTCAGTGACAGAAAAGCAATACATTTAATTACAGCCTTTGCTGACTCATTTAATATTGATTTAAATGATTATGTGATTAGTTATAGTTTGATAAAAAGGTGCTGTTAATATTTTCTAAGTTAAATAACCACTGATATTAGAAAAAGATGTACTTCTTTAAATTTCTCTTTTGTAGTATTTCATTGAGATTAAAAAAAATTCTCCTAATTTAACTAATATGGAAATTGTTGACAGGTTACCAATAATTATTACAACTCCGAATACTAAACAACTTCTCGGAGTACCTGGACTAACATCAGAAAAAAGTAGTCAGATTGCATCTGCTGTTTATGACACTCTAAGAGATTGAGAGATTTTGAAAAAATTCAGGTATTTATATTTGATACAATGACTTCTAATAGTGGTCATTTAAATAGTTCTTATATATTTTTTAGACTTTATAAATTAATTTAATTTTTTTTTACATGTCGACATCATATGTTTAAGATAATTTTACAAGCTATATTTTTTTTACTCTAAATTAATAGCTACGGCTGGTCCTGATCACTATTTTTAAAAAAATTAAAAACTGGTAAAATGAATGAAACTGATTAAACAAATTTTTGTTTATTTTCTAGTAATATAGAGATCAAAAATACATTACAAGGTGTAACAGATGATATTTTAACATTTTGTATAAACATTTTAAATGGAAATCTACCAATAAAATTATTGTAGTTGACATTTTTAGGTGGGATACCACCTAAAGGCATTATTTTTCGAAAACCAGGCACTTACCATTTGGCTAGATGGATTTGTAAAGCTATTTATTACCTTAAAATATTCATGTTCATAAAACAATGTCATCTCATTCTATTTGAATTAAAATCGTTAAAAATAATGTTGTTTTGTTGTAAAATGCTATGTAAAATTTTAGTTTATAGCACCAATGCTATTGAAACTTCATGTAATGATATTTAATTCTTAAAAGCCCACAATGAATAGAGATCTGATGGTACACAAGTAGTTGAATTAGCTATTAAAAAAATTGTAAACCATTTATGGTTTACCTTGGAGAGAAAACTTCAGTATTATCTATTTTTGACAATAATATTCATTTAGATATAAAGAGATGAATGGGCAACAAAACCATGGGCATAAATAAATGACAAAAAGATGTAGAATTTAAAGCAGATTCTCAAAAAAAAAAAAAAATTTTTAAAAACTAACAATATTACAAATTTTTAAACAAAGACTTCCCTTTTAGTTAACTATCACCGAATTCAAAACAATTTTTCCAAAGGTTTCAAACCTTTTTAAATGAAAAATCATAATGTTGGAGCACAAATGAACATTATATCAATGGAAAAAATATTTGTAAAGGCTTAGCTATAGTTAATGAAGCAGCAGAACAAAATTTACTAAAAATGAAAATCAACAACAATACACTTAACATGTAATTATTTAGAAAATCAATTATTATTATACTCTCTATTATTATTCATTAATTAATAATTTATTTATTATATAGGTCGTTCGTACAGAAAAAAATTCACTTAAGCCAGTTTAATAAAGCATTTTTCACTGCAATAAATTGAAGTTTAAAAATCATATTTAAACAATAATATTGAAATATTCATATTTTTTTTTTTAATTTTTATAGTGAAATTGTAGTATAAAATAAAATAAGTTTTTAATTTTTTTTTTTTATACATATACTTGAAAATATTTTCATAGATGCAATATTTTTGTATTTGCAATATTTATAAAGAAAAACGTTAGACCAAAAAATTTTCACGGAAAATAAAGTTAAAAAGTTTTTTTTAGTTGTGACATTGAACAATCAATGTTACAAAAAATTCGTAAACACTTTTTTTTTTACATTATTAATTCTGTGGAATTTTTTCTATTTATAGTAATTAAAATGATATAAGTAAAATTAATTAGCCACAAGTGATCAATTTTTATTATAAAATGATATATACAAAAAAACTAAATTTCTACATCTTTTTGTCAATGTTCAACCTCTTTTGGCATGTAAAAAGGTTGATATAGGACGCTCAAAATTCTACAATATATTCTGGATGCTGTATAGAAAAGAATTCTGATCACTAGGTATTAAATTTTCAAACTTGCAAAATAAGGACCACCCTAGTATATATCTATATTTTATAGATATATACTATTTAAATTTTGATTTAATGAAGCAAAATAATTAAACACTATAATTATTGGTAAACAATGAAATTAAGTCTGATTTGATAAGATAAAAGATTTATATATTGTCCAATAAAGTCAAGTGACGGTAAGATTAAAATTTATTATATTCTGATAAAAACAATGGAAAAAATTGTAGAATAATAAATATGTAAAGAATATTTTTCAAAGAACTCACAAACAAATTTATATAATATATAAATAACATATTATGTTATTAATAATAAATGTGAGTTTTAATTAATACACCATTTCCCTTAAATCATTATGCAAAACATAAAATTCTGATATATGGATTTAATAGCTTTATGGAACTATAGTAAAACTACTACTATAATAATCATCTTGTATTTGGTATACTGAAACTGAAAATAATTACTTATGCAATAATTTAGTTATTTACCTAAGCCAAGTTGTAAATTACTAGTCTCCAAATTTTCACTAGGTCCATTTCGTGAATTTTCTTTTTTTAATCTTTTATTAGCACTACGTTCATACTTAGTACCAGAAGATTCAGGTGATAGTACTAAAAAAAAATATATAAAAAATATATCAATAAATTAATGTTTTTTTTTAAATTAAAAGTGAAACAATTAATATTTAATGATAAACATAATTTTTTACACAACATATTATTTTAATAAATCTAGTAAATTAATCTTAATAAAAATAAAAATAAGTCACAAATATTCAAGAGAAATTAAAAGAATAATAATCAAGTTTATGTATTGTTGTTAATTTCATTCAAAATAAAATCATGTCCCTAATGAAAGTTGTAAAGGTTTTGAGGATTGTCATATTGCTTGAAATGTGTACAGATGTATCCTTGTCAGCTCATAACTGAACACGTGGATACAACTCTAAACATTTCAAGCAATTATTTCCCCTGTTTCAATATAGAGTACTTTTAACTTAACTTATGAAATAAAATAGTGGTAAAAATTGTTATTTAAAAAAAGAAATCACTCATTATTTTTTAGCTTCGATGCAAAGCTGAAAAGGTGTTAATTTTACTATTTTTTTTTATTGTGTCTGTTAACACTTTTCTGAGCTTTCACTGAAACCATTTCTTTCAACAATATGTCAAAATATCACAAATCATATTTAGTTGATGACATTACCCTCAAAAATTGAAAACATTTTTCTCATTCCCCGTTAATGGGGGAAATCTCCAAAAAAAATTACAAATTCAAAAATCGGTAATTTTCTACCTTTTTCAAATTTTTTACTTAAAACTGCCATAACTTTATTAAAATTGATCAAATCAAAATAATTTTTTTTTATAGATATGTGTAATAATTACCTATCATTTTGTACATTTTTTTTTATAAATCTGACCCTTTAACTGCTTTAAGGGAGGGATTCAAAATGACTTTTTCACAAAAAATTAACTTTTTCAACTTAATTTTTGAAAATGTTCCAGAAATACTGACATTTTTATATATATCTTAAATTAAAGCTTAAGTAATATACTTGAACAAAAAAAAAAAAATCAAAGTTAATAAAAAAAAATAAATAAATAATGCAAAAAAGTTTTAGAGGACAATTCGAGATTATTCTTTTTTCAAAAATTATGTGATATTACTACATAAAACATTTTATTGTAAAAAATGAAAAATAAATTTTATTCACTTTTTTTTTTTTTTTAATAATTTTATTTAACTTAACTAGCAAAACAGAGTTTAAAAAACAATTTCTATTCTAAAAATATTTTAAAAATTATTTTTTTTTTTTAATCATATAAAATTAATTTTTGTACTTGTTGCAATAAAGCTTTACAAGCTTAATGATATTATTAATATTAAATAACTAATTTGAAGGATTCATAATGATATTTTAAAGGTAATTTATTCTTACATTTATTAATTTTTAGAGTACTTAAAACACATTACGTAACTAACAAATTTTTAGTCTAATTCAATCACAAGTTTTTCCGTTCATAAATATAACAACATAATTTAGTGTAACCCATTAAGATGTTAAATTATGAACTATACTTAATTGATAAAAACCCAACCCAACCTATATATAAAAATACTTAATATAACACTCAGTTTCTTTAACTGTATTTTTTTCTACCTTTAAATTACATCCAATAGTTATTTAAAAATTCAACTTACAATTTAATTTCGGTTTATTTTTTTGGTTAACATTATTGTTATTCACTAATAATGGACTCTCTGATACTTTGTCAACTTCCATTGGTTCATCATTAACTTTATTCAGTTCGACTTCAACAGCTAAAACATTTTTATGAAAACTAGAATAATTAATTTATAAAATCCAATTACTTTTACAATACTTACATTTTTTTTTATTTTCAAGAACAATTAATAAACCATCATCAATATCAAATCCTCCAAAGTTGTCTTCAAGCTTTGGTTTATTATCAGAATCCTATAAATTTTCAGTTCCATTTATAAATAAATAATTATGTTTTATTTCAAAATACTTAACTATTACACTTTTATCAAAAAAAAAATACTTACATTGACTTCTTCAGTGTTCATTGCTTCACATAATTCCATGGTTACAATCTAAAAAAAATACAGTTAAAACAAAATAGAAATGTAGTATTATATATAATATAATATTAGGACTTTTTATATTTTTTCTAAAATAATAATAGCAATAAGTTAAAAGGTTAAACATAATTCGACCTTGATAAGTATGATATTAGCCCATTCTTTTAAATTATAATATCTCAATACACATCTAATTAATAAATGGAACAATTCTCTGTCACATGGTGATAAACAGTAATTATTGTCTAGTTAAAATTTTTAAGTATAGTAATATTTATTGAAAGTGATTATAAACCTTCTTTCTTAAGAAATTAACAAAATAAAAATTTGCTTATTAGTATAGCATTTACATTGTATCAGTGGCATAGCCAAAACAGGCATAGGAACGTATAGCCCCCATCCAATAGTCGTGTTAAACTCAAATTATACACTGATTATAATATATTGATGTTATGATAAATGGTCAATATTATATATATTTTCTCATATTAAATTTTTTTCATCGTAATATTCATATATGGTAATATTTATATATGGTTATACAATAAATGTTTATCTGTAAATTATAGTGAATGACTATACTTTATAGAATTTGGTCATAATATATGTCACATGACACATATGATAAAGGTTAAATTAAATCCAGAGAAAACTGATTATACCCAATGTGGTATAAGCTTTGATAAGATATGATAATTTAGCATATATCTATGGTGTTACTAAAGTGAATTTTAAAATTTGATAATTCACTACCTAGTCACCCAAGTAACTTTAAGTGATTAAAACATACTCGCTTGAAACATATTGTAATGTTGAAGGTATTTTAATAAATTGATGTATATGATTATAATATGTATATAATTTAGCTTAATTTATAATAAAGTAATCTAATAAAACTCATCTTATTGAACTTGGTATTATATTATTGACGAATCTATACTTTTAACACCATAGAACCATGATTACATAATTATGCAGATCTCAAAATACTTTCATGCTACCAACTCGAAACTATCATTTTATATATAATATCTATAATATATTAATCTAGTAATACATTATATCTAATACAAAAATTTTTCTTTTTTTTATGAGAGTTGCAAGGGGATTTATTAGTTTATATAAACTACTGATACATTCTTTCAGTAAATTTAATACATCAAAATATTAATCCATCTCTATGACAAAATTCTGAATACACCACTGCATTGTACATACAAAAGGTTTCCATTAGTGACAAAAAAGTTAAAATAGATGACATAATATTACTTAATTGAACAACTAATATGCTAGGATAATAAACAAAAAGTGGATTTATAAATTTTAATGTTAAGTTATTCCAAACACATCAAACAGAACAAATTTGTTGTTTTGATAGACTTGAAAACAAAATAATATATTATAATATATTTGTTTAAATGAAGTTATAGTGTAAGGATGATTAATGGCATATTGCCTCCTAAAACGAAAAATACTTTTATGCTTCTATATATTCAAACAACAAATTTGAATCTCTTTCTAATAGACAGAAACAAAATTTTGAAATGTATATAAAGCCGCTATCTAAAAATAAATATTTAAATAATACGTAGAATACAAAATGCATTAGACAGGTAATACATACCTAAAGGCAAGTAAGCAGCACAGTTTACATGTGTACATGTATTTAACTCAAACTTACAAGTTTATATTTAAATGGGCAGATAATAACAAACACAAACTACTAAAATACAGTCGATACTGTGTTATTTGACAATCTAAATAATCAAACATTTGTAGCGGGAACTGAAATGTACAAGATACTATGTGATGGCGGAACTGTCAACTGAGTTCCCTAGCGGGATTCTAAAATGACGCTACATGAAGTGTTAACCGTTACTCAAAGTGAGGTTACTCTATCTAACATAATTACAAAAATCTATTTTATCTTAAAAATATTAAATTGAATTTTAGGAAACTTATCCAATAAATATTAAATTATTATTTGTTTATTTAGCGATTTGCTTTTTAAATTTTCATTATTATTGAAAAAGGAAATATAATTATGATAATTTTTTATATTAACCTATAAAACATTCCCGCCATAGAAATATTTTATTTAAATATTAATTATCAAATGATATTAAGAAAAATGAATATTTTATTTTTTTAATTTTAATATTTATAACCTTAGTTATTTTATGATAATATCAAAGCTAGTTTGTAATGATATTTATTATAATGATGTTATTCCAGTAAGTTTTATAATTAAATCTTGGTTTTTAGTTTTCTAAGTGTAATAACGCTTACCAAGTATGTCGGAATATAGACTTTTTGATTCTTAATAATTTTACTATTTAAAGTTATTTGTACTTATTTGAACTATTTATAATTATAATAGGATTAATTAAAATATTAGATATTAATAATATTAGCCATATTATTAATTCATAATAAATTTATGATTCATAAATTACCAAATAGATATTAACTAATATTTGTTTTGCATAATTTACTAACTGAAATTACTGAATAATATTTTAATGATATGAATTATTATTAAATATAATTTAATAATAATTAAAATCATAATTTGTCATTTTTTATGAATCCTTAAGTGTATTGTCACTGGCTACATGAAATTTATATTATAAGATATTCATGTAGTCAGTAGTTGAATTAATCCAAATAATTATAACACTATGAACATAATATTAAACTTAGACCAGTGAAGTGACTAAATAAGGGGTTACCCAAAGAATCTCAAAATAATCTTTGAAACTTTGAGGGTGTCGTCATAACCAATGAACCTAGTAAAACTTTGTTAAAAATGTATATTAAGTTCATGTATAATTAAATATTTTTCATTTTTTAATAAGTAAAATACTAAAGTTTATAAAAGTGGTATTTTTCTACGAAAAATTTTTTAATGACAACAAAAAATTTTAGGGGTCATCAAATAAAAACCCTTATTATACCACTGTCTTAGATTATGATAAGAATTATCAGTAAAGTAGTATAATTTAGTATAGTGTAAATGTTAATGGAACATCAGTTTATTTTTAAATGAACCAGGCATCAAACTAACCATATTAAGTAATTAGAATTATTAAAGATTTTTAATATTATTTACTAATGTTTTATATTTCTATGAAAAATAAATAAAAAGTCTATGTATTTACAAAAAGAAAATTATGTGTGTTTCACAATTGTGGAACTTTGTTTTTTATTATTTCTATCTACTATTGTAGGTTTATGATGGATACACTGTGAAAAAACTACCATGCATTAATACTAGTTAATGTGATTCCAACATGACCCTAAATATCAAAATTTTTTCCAGTTTTTTAGTAGACTTAATAGCAAAGAAAAATTTACATCTAAAAATTTTAACTACTCAAATTTGACTAACATTTTTATTATATACTCAAAAGCTCTATCTGATGGTCTATCAAGAATACTTCTAGATTGTGTACTTAAAAAGAAAATATAAAAAAATTATTTTGCAGATAATGCTTTTTATTTCAAATTCTTATGGCATGATATTGAATATTTATAATCAATATCTCATAAAAACAATTTAATTATTCATCTAATCATTGGATGCTAATGAATTAATTTTTTTTTTTTTTTTGTCACCATAAGCTTTTAAATTGAAAAAAATTAGTTTGTCATTAAAAGTTACACAAATAATTCCTAAGATTTTAAAAATTATCATTATAATTAAAATTTTAGTTTTGCTATAAAATATTTTTTTTTTTCACCTATGTCAAAATATGAAATTTAAAGATCCATACACCAAATTTCTCATCATCTCCAAATAACTCTCAGACCAGATCCGGAATCAATAAGCAACCTACTGAACTTCCTAAATACAACACAGTTAGCCAACCTTCTTTAGTATAATCAAAACATATTATAACAAAACTCCTGTAGATAATATAAATAACTAAATGTTCAACAGCTAACCAATGAACTATGATCGCAGTTATTTAAAATATATATATATAGGTGATTTACTTATCATCAATCACTTAATTAATCAAAAAATAAAAATAATATTAATGTCATTTTTATTGGTGTCTTGTAGTTCAATGTTTTTCTCGATTTATCAACCATATAAGAAATATAATATTCATCCCTTATACCTTATAAGGGTGTCAATTTTAATTTTTCAAATGGTAACTCAAAATTAATTATATGTTCATCTCTTATATATTAAGAGAACAACATAAATTTTTTTATAATTGATACATTGAACTAAATAAACCAATAAAAAGTTAATAATGTTTTTATTTTTCGATAAATTAAGTAGTTCAGAATAAGTGAATCCCACTGTATATTAGAAAACAAATTTAAAAATTATCTATTAACAAACTTGAAATCAGTACAAAAAATTAATAATCAGTATAAAATAATTTTAATTAATCAAAAATCGTTCATTAATGTAGCCTAAACTTATACTGAACCATGTTTTAGAAGTGTACATTTTAAGTATTCTCTAAATTAAAACAACTATTTTGGTATATCAATTAAAAAAAAAATGAAAAAAGGCATATTAATAGAAAAATTATATTAGCGACCCTATTATATATATAAAACCCTTAATATGTACCTGCCCCAACTGATGTCAGTAATTGCTAAAAACAATTTAGTAACTTTCTATATGAAAATGTATTTTGCGAACCAAGAATTAAAAAAAATATTGTGACTGTACAAGTATTTGTGTTTAAGTGTTTATTAATATATAAACACACAATTTTCTTGTGTTATCCATGTTATTTCTTATTTAGTTTAACTTTATATTATGAAATTTAACATTTTATTTGAATTTTATATTAATTATATAATGGTTCAAAATGAATTAAGAACATTTTCCTACGAAATATGATATATTTCTGATCAGTTAAACATTTAACCATGTGAGGATTAAAGTTTTAAAAATATATGATATTGAAATATTTACTAGTAATAAATTCCTTATTTTTGGAATATCTTACTCTAAACTTTTGGTTCGCAATGACAAAAAATTATTCAAGCTTACAAATTATAATAGCCAGTAGTAACATTCAGCAGTGGACGACTATTATTGATTTGAAATAAAGCTAAGAAGTATTAATTTTACTATGATGCGTTTTTCTTTTATTTTGTCGATTAATACAAGTTATCAACATTTATTGGGCTGATTTTTGTAACAATACATAAAAAAATCACAAATCATATTCATTTAAAGACATTGCCTTCAAAAATATCAATTTTGTTAAATAATAAATATTTTTGTATAACTATTAAATTAATTTATGATTATTTTTAATAATATAAGTTATGAAAAATAATAAAATTATGCGTGACAAAAATTATATAAAATAAAAGATATTTTAAGGATTTTCCATCAACTTTTAAATGTAATTTAATCATCAAGATATTAAAAATTAATTTACTGAATAATTTTACTAAAAAAAAAAAAGTAAGGCTTTATTTTTATCATATTTTTTTAGCTTCAATAAAAAGCTGTTAAATTATTAATTTAACTATGAACTATGTGTCTTTTATTTGTCTCTCACCACTTTTTCTCAGCACTCATCGGAAAGATTTTATTCAACAGTACGTCAAAAGATCAAAAGTTGTATCTAATAGAAAACATTACCCTTAAAATTTTTAAAATAATCCTTCGTTTCCAGTAAATAAATCCCACAAAATATAAAATGTTATAAATTGGTAAATTTTGAAGTTTTGACTTCGATGCAAAGTTGAAAAGGTATTGATTTTGTGATGTACGTGTTTCTTTATGTCTATTCATAAATATATTTATCTCTCTCTAGGTTGATAATGGTAATCTATACGTCCAAAGAATCTGAATTTAATGTAATTGAACCTATCACCGTTAAAAGTTTATAAAATCTTTCAATTTTAAGAGTTTATAAATTATCTCAAAATTATACAACCGTAAAAAAAAAAAAAATTTTGCATTTTAAAACTACAAAAAAATTAACTCAACTTTAGTTAATTATATTGATTAATATTTTTTAAATGCACTGATAAAGTTTTTTATTATTATTAATTTAGTTAGTATAATTATTTCAATATTCAATGCTGGAATAATAAAATTATATAATTGTTTTAGCTTCGATGCGAAGTTCAGAAGATATTAATTTTACTACGAGGTGTGACAATAAAATAACGAGACTTTTTTAATAAAAGTTATTTATTTTTGAAACTTTACAATTTAATGATTGTCACCTTCAAAGTACCTTCCCTCAGCATTAACACACTGTTGCATACGTCGCTGCAATTCTTGAAAACAATGTTGCCAATCGTTTTCAGTTAATTTCAACTTGCTCATTCGTGCTTTCTTCATTCTTGGGGCAGTTGGTGGTGTCTTCCAATTTATGGATTGCCTTTTAGTTTCAGGATCATATGTAAAAATCCACGTTTTATCACACGTAATGATATTATTTATAAATAATTTCTTTGCGATTGAATTTTTGATAAATAGTCAAATTTTTAGGGACCATTTTTATAGCCACACTTTTTTCATATTTAAATTGTCAACTAAAATTTTTCGAACACTTTCTCTATCAATATTTACCATCTCTGCTACAGCTCAATCAAAAAAAAACACTTAATCGACGATCTTGCTGAATGATGTTGTCAATTTTTTCAACGTTTTCGTTTGTTGAACATGTGGTAGGACGTTTAGAACGATCATCGTCTACCACGTCCTCTCTTCCATTGCAAAACCGTTTGAGCCATTCAAAAACTCGAGCTCTTGATAAACATTCTTCACCATAAACTTCACTTAACATATGAAATGATTCCGCGGCAGTTTTTTTTAATTTAACAATAAATTTAATGTTAACACGTTCGATTTTATATCTAACATTTTTCGGCAGTATAGTCCAATTCGCAATAATAACAAGGTTACTAACGTATAAAAAAATTAACCGATTTCATCAATGTTTATAGTACTTTTAGATAAGTGTTTCCTAATCATATTTCAATAATCGTTTTATAAATAACGTTATTAGTTAAGGTTATATTTATAAAGTCTCGTTATTTTATTGTCACACCTCGTAAATATATATATATATATATATATATTTCTTTTTATTATTACTTTTTTGTTTTTTGTGTCTGTTACCACTCTTTCTCATCTCTTATCGAACCAATTTCTTTCAACGATACATCAAACGATCACAAATCGTATCTAATCGAAGATATTTTCTGAAAAATTGAAAAATTTCCCTCGTTCCCCGTAAATGGAGGGAAACCTCCAAAAAAATTACAAATTTAAAAATCGCTCATTTTTTCAATTTTTTTACTTAAAACTGCTATAACTTTTTTAAAAATCAACAAATTAATTAAATTAATTTTTAGTTCGATGTGCTTTAAAAGCGTGTTTTTTAGTTTTTTTAAACTATATTTATTTTTATTGAAACCTTAGATATTTCTCTTTCATTCTACTACAAGTAGTCGTGGATTTTATATCAAAAAGTATTTTATAGGGTAAATAAATGTAAACAAAAATATTATTATAATTTTTCTACATACAGTAATAATTGATTGTTTATTTAATCAATAGAGAGTAATGATAAACAAGTTTAAAAATATAAGCGATTTGAAATTGTAATTCATCAAAGAAGTTAACAGCCTAGCTGAATTGTGATCGATAAATGTAGCATGGTGTAACTACGCGCAAGATAATCTAAAACACCAAAACTACACAATGAACAAGCAATCTTCTCACTAGTTTAACTCCCCTTCAGATCGATAAAAGACGAGATTAAATTTTTTCATATAGTTACCATGATGCGCATAATCGAACAAGGAATACCTTTTATCGATATAACGTTTGCAAATATTGAAGTCAAAATGTGCCGTTCAAAATTTACTGTTTATCATCGCGTGGTTCGACAAATTAAGTTGAAAAAGTTGCCATTTTGAAACCCTCCTTATGGGCATGTAAAGGGTCAAATGTTCACAAAAATATACCAAATTATAGGTAAAGACATCAAGCATTTATGAAAAAAAAAAAATTAATTTGTTCAATTTTAAAAAAGTTATAGCAGTTTTAAGTAAAAAAAATTAAAAAAATAAGCGATTTTTAAATTTGTAATTTTTTTGGAGGTTTCCCCCATTTACGGGGAACGAGGGAAATTTTTTCAATTTTTGAGGGTAATGTCTTCGACAGGATACGATTTGTGATCGTTTGACGTATTGTTGAAAGAATTGGTTCGATAAGAGCTGAGAAAAGTGGTAACAGACACAAAAAATAATAATAAAAAGAAAAAAAATATATATATATACATAGTAAAATTAATATCTTCTCAACTTCGCATCGAAGCTAAAACAATTATATAATTTTATTGTTCCAGCATTGAACATTGAAATAATTATACTAACTATAATATATAATACAACGAATTTTTATTATCAATGGTTTTATACCAAACTATATATATAAATATTATAATAATTATCTTATTATTTAATAAACTGCATTTCAGTAACTACCAACTCCCCTTCCAAATGTTTATATTTTAGCTTCGATACGAAGCTGAGAAGGCATTAATTTTACTATGATGCGTTTTCTATTTCATTTATTCATTTTTTTATGTCTGTAAACGCTCAATCTCAGCTCTCACTGAACCCATTGCTTTCAATGATGCGTCAAAATATCATAAATCGTATCTAGTCGAAGACATTACCCTCAAAAATTGAAAATTTAGACCTCGATCCTCGTGAATAGTAAAAATCCCTCAAAAAAATAAGATTTCTTAAATGGTTAATTTCGACACTTTTTTTACTTAATACTACTATAACTTATTAAAAAATGAATGAATCCAAATAATTTTTTAGTAAAAATCATTGTCTGTTAATTAATATAATTAAAAATGTAAATAGATTTTTTCTATTCATTTAAAAGGAAGCAATACAGGAACATTTTTGGTACATAAATCAGACATAGATTAAATTTTGAAAGAAATCCATAATGACATAATGAATAAGGAGACAATACACTTTTTGCTCAACACCACATGGTTTGGTTTCATTTTTCGTTATGAAATACTACCAAATGATTTACGGGACGAATGAATGAATTAAATTGATATGTGAACTTAAAAGCTTAAAAATCGTAAAATTTTATTTGATTTTACTGTCAACAAATTACATTTTATATTTCCACAACTAAAATTAGTAATTACATATATTAAATTTATTTTATTGGATGTGGTAAGCTATAAAATAACTAAAATGGAGTTTTTTACAATGACAATTAATTCCATTATGTGTTCCAAAATTAAAAAAAGCGAGAATGCGAGTTCCTTTACAATATTCTATAGTATTGTCATTCAAGACATCAAACTACTAACTGGCTGTAATAATAAAATTTCACATAATTACCTAAAAACTAACTAAATTCATATTTCTCCAAAATATATGATTATATACAATTCACACTGTTACTAATATTAAATATTTTACATACAACAAATATATTTGTATATACTTTTTTTGACTAGTATTGCTCCTATTGTGATTCTTAACCATGTTATTTTAACATTACTAACGCGACACTCACCAGTCTTGTTCCAAATAGGATCAAATTAATTTTAATTTTATTTAATAATAACAGAATAAAAATTTTATTTTATTTACTAAGCACGAAAAATAAAACTTCTAATTAAACATTTTATGGAAATATGCGTAAAAAATTCACAATTTTTCAAAATTTTGTAATGACAAGATAAAAATGAAATTTTCTTGCAATATTAATACTAATTATTTTCAAAAAGGAGGATGAATTAGAAAAAAACTTTAAATTTTACTTAAAATTGGTAAAAAATAAATAAATTAAAAATACAAGTTATATTCTTCATACATATATATTTTTTTTTTACATAAGAATTAACTAAAATAAAAAAAGACAAACAAGAAAACAATTAATAATCTTAATTTTGTCTAAAATTTCTAAAAACTATATAGGGGAAAAGATTCTCTGGGAATACATAGTAATTTTTTCATAATAATTTAATATTGACATTCTTATGAAATAATATTACATAATAAATTATAACTAATATATACAAAAATAATTTATAAATGCATAATATTTACTATAGACCATAATTCAGCCTAATATTTATAGATAGTTGTTGAAATCACCATGAGGTGTATTTTAAACTTTTTATTATATATACATTTTATACTTTATATAAAATTATACATAAATAATATCAATATTGAAAGTTTTGGATAATTTATGTATCCCGTTCTTTTTTAACTTTAAATTCTTCACCTAAAATAGTAGCTATTTCACCTTGCATAAAAGCCCAAGGCACGTTTGAGTTGGCAAGAGGACATTTTTCACCACTTGGACAATAAACCTATAAATTTTTTTTTATATATTTGAATAGATAATTTAAAAGATATTAAAGTTATACTAATTTTTTTTTTTACCTCGGAGCCAGCTCCTTGTCTTTTAATACTATCCCTTGAACAAGGAAAGCAAAATTTGTGATGAGGAACTGATGGACATTGAACAAAATGGGTGTCTTCTAGTCTTTCTTGACATAGAGTACATTTAAGAGTTGCAACATTCGAAGCATTTGCTGAAGCATTAGTTAAAGGTACTGCTGGTGGGACTAGAGGTACAGTAGGAGTACCAGTTTCTAATGGAGTATTAGCAGTTCCTTCTGAGCCGTTTGGAACAGAAGCATTTAGTGTAGTTCCTGTACCATTCACAGTGGTCGCACTTGTTCCTCCAGCAGCTGCAGCACTAACAGCTCCAGTACCATTTACCTCGCTTGATGTTACAGTTGTAGAACTCACATGTCTGCTACCTGATGATCTTCGGCCACTGGCTGTACCACCTATAATATAAGAACACTATTAAATAATATAATACTTCTATATTCATCTAAGTTAGGTAATTTTTAAAAGTACATAGCAAAAATCTCACTAAATTAAAAATATCAACACATAACCCAACTACATAACTATAATAATAAGATGAAATTAATTGAAAAAGTTATATATTCTAAGAAATTTTAATATCACAAATTTTTTGAAAATTAATGAGATAATTTTTATATAACTTTCTTTTACTTGTGCAAGAAGGTTTTTTTATTAGAATCTTTAAAAAATTGATCTTTGAAACCTATTTTTATATGTTATTGTAATATTATTAAATGAAAGTATGAATCAATTTATAAGAAAAACGAGAACTATAGATATTGAATTTTTTGTTAGAATTAAATTACTGCATTATTAAATTTGATGACTTGTGATTAATAATATTTAACTAAAAAAACTACAAAAAATAAGTATATATATATTTTTAGCACTGATGATGATAATATTGTACCCAAAATACTAATAATTTTGTAAATTATTAGATATAATTGAAATGTAAAAATTTTATGTTGATAAATTGAAATATTTTACTACAAAATTACATCATTTATAATACATGAAACCTTAATTGTTTAGGTTGTAAAGAACTATTCAAAAACATTACCTAAAACAAATTGAACTAGAATATAACTTTTTTCAATTTCTATGTGAAAGGGTTTTAATTTTGATCATGAAACTAACTTAAAATGTAAAGCTTATTTCGAAATTCATTAATGAAAATTTCATATCGAACAAAAAGATAAATTTGTTACACATTTTTAACAAGTTTTTAAAAATTAATTAAATTAATTTTACATTACTAATTTAACTTTGATTTTACTATACATTTCAAAAAAGAATTAATAAAATTATTGTACAATTTGAATGCACATATAGTTGTAAATATAATACTATTGTTTAAAAATTATATTTAAACTTAAATTTAAAAAACTGAAATCCAAGAAATATGTTTTAATGAAATTCATTGGTTAAAGTTTCTATAAAACTGATGCTACTAATATAAATAAATATTTTTTCAAAGTTTATTCTTGGACATTAATATTAATAATTTTTTTTTTAACGGGTATTTGATAAATAAAGTAATTAAAATATACAAAAAATCAAATAACACCCAGTGAAATATTCACAGGTTATTATAATTTGATACATAACAATTTAGCTTTTAAGTTCTGTAAATTAAATATAGTTTTTAATTAGTAAATTATATATAGTTTTTGGCATGTTTACAATAAACAACCATTTAGATTTCTCTTATTCCCAAAATGTGACATGTTTCTCAAATTGATTCCTCTCATTTTAATATAAACCAAGCTTACACTGAAGAAAATAATTTTACTATCCCTTGAATTTTTTTGGGGGAATTTCTAATACTTTGATCATTTATTTTAAAAATTTTTTTTAATTCTAGTTTAAAATTCTCTTTGAAGCGGTTTTTAAGATGTATAACGTAAGATATTATCTTTTGGCAGATAAGTATGTGTTGATCTAAACCCTAACTATGTTTGATCTTTCCATGGTTCAAAACTGCTTAATAAATCTAGTCATTAGAAGCCATTAAGAAAATATCACAACTAGAAATTCCAGTACTCGAATCAATAAAATAAAATAAATTTTATTAATTATTATAATATAGTGTCGAATCAATTATAAAAACAAAAAGTTGCCAATTGAATTAATGAAGAGCTACGAATACTTTATTAAAAACAAGCAATTATTTCTAGAGGGATGCTGCTTCTAATTAGCAGGTTAAGCAAAAAGCCAGTAATAGTGCAATAGTCAAAGTAGTTTAGCTTCAAAAACAGCTATTAATAAGATTCTGAAATAAACTCCAATGACCTTGCATGTTTAAAAAATGTGATAAATACATACCAGTAGAGTTGGGAGAATGTTGAGATCCTCTAGAAGCAGATCTAGGACCACCAGGTTGTTGAGCTGTTGAACCAGGTGGACTACCCCGTGCACTTTGTGGTGATCCGGGTGGTAGATTATCAGTAACACTCATTAATGCCGCCATCGGATTAGTTCCATTAGATTGATTCTGCGAGGACTGTTGGCCACCACTGCTACCACCAGTTGTCTGCATAGATGGCGGCCCATCAATAGGAGAACCGGCGGTCCTACTGGCAGGTAATGATGATCCAGTTGCCGGACCACTACTGTTATTGAGACACTGTTGTGCCACTGCAGTTGCCGCAAATCCACCTAACGCACACACAAGGGACAATAAGTACACAAACAAGACAAAGGCAAACGCAAGCTTACAACAAAAAGCAAGATCGAGTTTTATTCTAGGAACCTTAAACAGATTTAAGTAAAAGGAACTAATGCAACTCTAAAATTTTTTTTCAATAGTACAAATAGGACAAAAACAGTGACGAAGCCAAGATTTTTGTTTAGAAGAACTAAAGATCTTCTTTTTTTTTTTATTATATACTCTTATTAGAGCTGAAGTCATATATAGTAAATAATAATTGTACACCACTAGTGAGCTATGGCCTCGTTAGCCTTTCCTTAGCTTCACACCTGGACAAAAGGTAGATTAAGTATGTAACGGATACTTAAGTACAAAGGCGATTAAAAAGTTTTAACAATAGTTTTCAGATACATTTAGTACATATAATATAAGCAAAATATATATGTAAGAACTACTTTTTATTACTCCGTGATCTATTACAATAAAATATATCAGCAGAAGTCAGTGATGTAAAAAAAAATTAAAGGGTGTAATCATTTATGCAAATGGTAGTTAACTAGAATATCTCATTAGTTAAGCATGCCAATTACAAGGTTAAGATATGACAACAAAATGAAGACAGAAGTTTAAAATCAGTTAAAAACAATGTAAAACTTAAATTAACCATTTTCAGAGAAAATAACATTACTTTGGAAATATTAAAATTTCAGGAGGGAGCTACAATTTCTGGACTATGCTAATAAAAATTGATGACCACTGATAGAAAATAATTAATTTCTATTTACAAAAACAATACTTTTTCGTGTAAATATTACATATTTCCACAAAAAAAATTATGGTTTAGAGTAAACATCGATAATTTCAAATATTTACTGTTTATACTTAATTATATAAGGATAAAAACAAGTTTCAAGATTAACTTAAAGTAATTATCGTAATAAATTATATAGGTTGAGGAAGTCTGTGCTATAAATTATTTACTATTAATTGTTCTTTCAATAATATACGATGAATCATGGTTCATAAAAAAAAATATATATATATTGGTTATATACTTCTTAAGGAAGACGGTCAAAAACTTATAACGATATTGCTTAATGAAACGTCAATAAATCGTTGAGCATGGCAACAGTGCACTACCAATCGGCCTACACATAGGATCAATCGTTAGATCTGTCATGAAATGCTACGCATGCGTGGATGATTGTTATGAGCGTGCGTGACGTCACACGCTAACCGTCAGAGAACTGAATAAACGTTGCCAAACGTATAGTGAAACGTGGTTAAGTTCACTAATAATTTTTCCAAAAGAATAAACGCAACGTGTTTAACATGATTAAGCGTCGTTGAGAATACCTAGACAAGATTACAGGTGGATTGTAAGAATTATACCAGGTCGGGGAAACTGATCGTATGACGTCACATTTGTTGGGTACTTCATTATAATTGGATCATTGGCGTTATCGACGATTTTGTTCGCGAAGGTCCCCGTCACCTTTTTTGTCATAACCCATAATATCCCTCCTACTAATCTACTACGTCACAGCGTCTACGCTACAATAAATACAACACAACTAGGTATTTCAGGGAGAACTTTCGATTATCATGCGTGCATTAAGTGTTAGCGTGTAGCATTTAAATTGGAAGTTGTACTTCCTAAAAAAATTAAAAAACTGTAAATTCACTTACCAGCAGTCTTAAATGTAGACGTATCAAAAGACGTAGTCCGTATAGGATGTTTCTGTTCGGCAGTTTTGAAAGTTCTTTCTACAAAAGGTACCGCTAAACTAACAGCCGGCAAAGAATCTCCACGTTGTAAAGGAGGCCTCTGTGGCGGTTCCTCCATCATTCGTTTATTACCGCTTTCCGCATGATGATCATCATCCTCTACTTGTGAACTTAGACCTCTTTTTAGTCCTTGGCCAGCTTGAGCTCGGCTAGGGATATGATGAGTCATATTATGCTGCTGCTGGCTCTGTTGTAAACGAACTGACGTTCGGGCCATTGCTACTTCGTGTTCAGTTCCGTGAGCTCCAGGACGACCAGGGTATTCCATAAGAGATGCTCGCGAATGATGAAGAGTAGCATAATGCGTAGCTGCTGCTGTAGGGGGAGGAGGAGGTTGTTGAGTTTGTCTTGCTGTCATTTGATGAGCTTGTGGTGGCAAGCCCACTACTTCTAAACCACCATTTTCATGACGATGCGAGTTTTTCGAGTGGTGAGCGTTCCCTGTTGACGACGTTCCACTACTTCCGGTCGACCTGGTAGCCGATTCCTGAAATCCATGAGCCCGTTTCATTTGACGGGCCGTTTCTATTACTAATTCAATACGGTCTGCACCCTCGTAATTCACACACCCACGACACACGGGTTCGGTAAAATCGTGTAACATTGCCCACGGCATGCGAGGTAAATCACACAGATAACAATGTTGTCGTTTACCCAGCATGTTTTACGTTAAAAAAAATCGCTCGTCTCGTTCACAAATAAATCGTTGATCAAAAAAAATAATTGTAAAAATTCACTGGAGACGTTTTTATAATTATTAATATTAATAGCTAATAAAGAAAAACCCATAAATTAAAAAAAAAAAAATTTAACACATCTACACACATAACAATTGCGGCACGAAGATCGTTCACAGCACGTAATCACCAGTTACAAACACAACTAGCGCGACAGACAGCCGCATTCGTAGTGACGTATCTACAAAATCTTCGATAATAATGGGAAAGAAGGTAGTGGTGTAGGAGTGGGACGCCCGGGAATGGCGTTCGTAAGAGTACGCGAGTGCGTGCGCGCACCATACGCAGTACAAGAGCACAGCGCTACTAACTTCGAGGCCACAGCGACTGACAAAGAGAGAGGGGCTACAGAGAGCCCGGTGCTGCGTGACGTATACCTCCTCCTTACTTACGTACGTGATAATACACAACTACACCCTCAGCACGTTAGTGTAGTTGTGTATTATTTTTATCATTGATCCGAGTACAACAGTCATTCCGCACCATCCCCACTTAACCATGACCAGCCACCGGATCGGGTCAAACAACACACTTGCATAGTGATGAAGTGCGATACATACGTCACGAGATAAAAACCAATAATAGCTAACAAACACACGTTATAAATTAAAATAAACTCGCCTTACACTTATGCTGACTGTGGGGGACGATGCCGTTAAGACAACGGTTATAAAAAAACACGTCAGACATTTCTGTTTCTATACACATGTTATATGCATTATTAATTCTCAAATATAACTTTAATAAAAACTAAAAATAGTAATCGTGTAAAAAAACTAATTATCTATCACACAATAAATAATCATGTTCAATATGATAAAATGGATCTTATCCAGAATGAGGATTCTAATATTTAGCTAGAATTTCATTGAAATTCCGATTGACTGATGATGAATGTAGTGTATAGTCATACTTCTCGTGTAACGGTCCACTAATTAGAAAAGTGAGAACAATACATGTACTATGAAAATTACTCTGCTAAATATTTAGTTTTACTGATTTATGAACAGGTACATCTTTAGGTCAACTCTGTGGAGGGGTGAATTTAAAATATTTTTATCAACTAGTTTGGAAATTGTTGGCACAATATTGTTTTAAATTTGAAGGGGAGTTCTATTTCCAAAGAAAAAAAATATTTTGTCTTAACTTTATTTTTATCTATTGATTGATGTTACCTACCTATGAGGGATTAGAAATATATTGTATTAATATTCATAATATGATTGATAGTACTATAAAATAAATCAAGCAATATTAGATAAAAATGAAACACTTTTTAACAATTGTAATGAAGACAACTCAAACTTTTGTCAATTTTTTATTTATAATCTTAAAACAAAATAATACACAAGCAGCATTAAAAATAAATCATAGCTAAGTTAAACAACAAAGTGTAATACTGTTTTATTTAAAAAAATTCAGTTTAACAATGGCTACATCTGTTTATGTGCACATGAACAAATATGAAATATATATATTATAATTTTATTTTAAAAGTTATGGGAGTAATAGGTACACATACAATATTTTTTTTAAATTGGAAACATTGTATAGAGGACGATTGCTCTTACACAAGGACTTACCTGTTTATATAAAACGTATGGAATACTGAAAAATGTTACGACCATTGTATTATTTATGATTTTTAGGGATAGTTCATTAAAACCGGTGAAAGGAATAAATTCTTGGACAAATTGGATCTTATAAATGGTATTAGAAAGCATTACGAGACTACATAAGAGCTTGTAAATAAACTCCACCTCTCCGTTGATGGTTTTTCGTAAGAACCAATAATATATATACTAAATAGGAGGCTAGGGTACTGAACTTTTATAACGCTATCAAGATTAAATTTGAAATCAGGCATATGAATGTAACTGTGTAGGTAACACAGTTTGCAGACAACACAAAGGTCCGTTTTCACTCAGTATATTTATATCTATATGTTGTTCACACAATTCAATATAACTAAAATATTGAGAATAAAATAAAGGAAATTTATAAATTAGTTTAAAAGTAAAGAATACTATTTCTATTTTGGTATTTATCTTTCGATTAAAATTTGAAAAGCGAGTAGATGATCACGTTATAAGAAATATTTCATTTATCAATTATACCAATTATAGTAACCGTTAATCAAAGCAAATGTATTATTAATAATAACAGCGATGGTTGCGTTACATCGTTTTATATGTATCACTTCATCTCATAATATGTAACAGCCGTGGTAAGAGTTCGTCGAACCCGTCGTCTAGGTTTAGGCTGTACTGAGGAAGAGGGGAACACGCTCGGCTCATGGCAGCCGCCGTTGCTCTGTTGAATGACGTCACGTTCTACATTCACACGATTGTTAGAAAGAAAGTTCTTGGTTACGTTATTATACGAGCGCGGTTGTTGTAGGTCAAATAGTTGTGGCCGTCGTCTCAACGGCTGGCTGGCTGACTGGTGGCATTGCAGTAGTGCAGTTGGTAGTGGTGTAAAGACAAACCCGTTAGAACTGTGTCCTCGTATTTTTTTTTTACATAAGTGAAAAATAATTCTCAATGTCAACACTTATATTTATATATATATTTACTAAAATTCATATCTACTTCATCTCCATAATTCTTTAATCAATTTTAAATTACATATTTTTCTTTAATATTAAATACATTTTTTACTTAATGGCGTTTCAAGAAATTCTTTTAAGAGTTTGTTATTAATGAAGTACTTTAAAAGGAATTACGGGGACTCTTCACACCTACTTTGATTTGTTATTATTACACTTAATTAAGGGCGTGTTTTTGTTTTTACTTAGTTTTTTCTTAGAGCAGATAAACATCGAAAATTTATGTTACCCCTTCAAAATATGTTTTACTAAATATTTTCATCATGGAAGTTTTATTCTCCAATCCCCTCTTCCGTAAAAACGCCCACGTCAATAGCTCTAAATTAAATATATTAATATAAAATATATTGTTACTATATTCCTACTGTTACTTTAAAATATATTCTTTTAATTTAACTTTTGGAATCCCACATTTTTTTTTAATGAAAATAAAAATTAATTGTTCAAAATTAGAGTCTAATATGAAGAGGTAATACACACTATAAAGCTTCTTAAGTTTAGTAAAATAGGTTATAAAAAAAAAAAAGCTGAATAATCTAAATGATTTTTTATGTTTAACAAGTTGAGTTGGATTGGATTTAATCAAGTGCCATCATACATATCGTGTATTATATTAATATACCTTTTTGAGACTTTTTTCTTTAAAACCCTCTCTCGGTAATCTATACGTTTTCTCCAAATCTAGAAATATCATACAAAGTTTTTTCTTTTTTTCCCTATACTTTTCTATTAGTTGTCTTACAAACATGAAATTTCACTGAGTAAAAAAAATATTTAATATTGAATAAAAGATGTAATTTTAAATTGATTAGAGAATTTTGGTGATAACTTAGTTATGAATTCTAGTGACATATATCATTATCATTATCATCATCTATTAAAGGCAAAATTCCTTATAGTTAAACCCCTCTTCTCTGTCTTTCTTCTCGTATTTCTTCTAGAACTTGCTCATTTCTTTTCTTGACTATTTATTTTGTTTTTATCATTTTTCTCCATATTCATATTCGAATGCTTCTAGTTTGCTTTTGTATTCATGTCAATTGTCCATGTTTCCATTTGTTGTCCATATGAAAGTACACTTCAGACAAATGTTTTAACTAATCTTTTATGTATGCCAATGTCAGATGTTTATTGGTAAGAAGCTGATTCTTATTTTGCAATGCTTACTTTGCCAATGTTATTCTTTTTTTAATGTCTGGTATTGATTTGTTATGGAAGCTATGATACTTTCAAGATAACAGAATTGTAATCGTATATTGTTTATTTGTATATTAAGATTTAGATCTGAGTGCATTTTACTATACATACATACATATATATAATTATCTAGTTTATATTTGTGCTAATAACACGGAATTCACAAGTTTTATTATAATGATTGTAAAGTTTTTTTCCATACCTGCTGTGCTAAATAATAATTAGTTTATTATTATTATTATTAAGTATAATTCTGAATATTTGTATTTTATTTTTTTTAATCATATAATAAGACAATAATATATTATATTATAAGTCGTTTTCTACTAATGTTTTTAGCTTCGATACGAAGCTGAGAAGGTATTAATTTTACCATGATGTGTTTATTTTTTTTTTTTTTTTTTTTTTTT